CCTTTGCTCAGCATCCCATCCAAACCCAGCCCCACCACCCCCCACTGCACTTTACCATCCCCTCACACGATATCGTTCAGCGGCAGCGTAACCTCATCCTTCCCCGCATCCTCAATCTCCTTCAAAAACTTCTCGCCGGCCTCCTTGTCCCCCTTAAACAGCGTGTCCGCCACCATGCGCCGCGGCGTTTCGCCCAGCCACTGGAACAGCGAAAAATCCCGAAACTCATCCGCACGGAACACCTCCAGCATCTCAATATCCTCATCCCCAATATTCTCCACAAAATGGCCCATATTACGCGGCACGATACCCACATCGCCCGGCTGGTAATCGAACGTGCGGGCGGTGCCCTCGGCGCCAAACACGGTCACGCGCGCGCGCCCCCTCAAGAAAAACGACCACTCGTCCGCGTTGGGGTGCCAGTGCATCTCGCGCAGCGCGCCGGGGCGGATGAGGACGTGGGCGGCGGCGACCGTCTTGGAGACGTTGAAGTTGCGCGTGTCGGCGATGCGCACCTCCCCGCCCGTCGTGTTCTTGGGCTCCTGCGCCAGCATGCGGTGCGTGAACTGCTGCGTAGACGGCTTCACGTACTTGCCCTTGGGGAACTCGTCGTCCACCGAGCCGGGCTGCGAGCCCTGGAAGATGTACCGCTCCGAGGGGGGGATGTGTGCGAACACCTCGGGCGGCAGGTGGAAGTTCTTGGAGATGACGGACCGCGGCGTGTGCGCCAACCAGTCGGTCAGCAGAAAGGTCGACTCCTCCGAGAAGGACCCCGAGTCGAAGATGAGCAGGAACTCGGTGCCGTTGGCGCTGAGCCCCTGCAGCGAGTGGGGGACGCCCGACGGGAAATACCACAGGTCGCCCTTTTGGAGGTCGTCGACGAAGGTGCCCCCTTCGTAGTCCAGCGCCGTCACCCGCACGCTGCCGTCCAGCACGTACGCCCACTCGGCCTCCTTGTGCCAGTGCAGCTCGCGGATCACGCCTTCGCCCAGGCGCATGTTGACTGCTGCGAGCTCGACGCTGGTGGGGAGCTCGCGGACCGTGGTCTGCCGCGTCCAGCCGCCTTCCTGAATGGGGGGGTTTAGTTACGGGACCGGAAAAGGGGTGAGGGGGTGCACAAGAGGGGGCGGGGGGGGCAAACTTCGATTCTAATGTGGGAGTCGGCAAAGCTCCATCTTAGGTTCGGCATGTCGCCGCGGTCTGTGGAGGGCGGCCGCACGAGATCCGGGTTCTGGCGCGAGCGCTCCCGGTTCCATGGCCCCAAGACCGATGCGCCCTCGCCATTGCGCCAGGGCAAGGGGTCGAGTCCCTCGCCGATGGAGTCTACGGACTTATCGTAGGGGTCTCGGTAGTCGGGGGTATAAGGGTTCGGAGCCGGCGTGGCCTTCCGGTACTTGGCCGGCAGAGGCTTGCCGTCCAGCAGCCGTTGTCGCGGGCTGTCCTGGATGGGAACCGCAGTGGCGAGGTCGCTGAGGCCCGCTGCCAGGAGGAGAGCGCTGCTTGAAAGACGCATTGTGTCTTGGGCAGGGTAGATGGCTGGTGAAGATCCCAGGAGCTGTGTGAAGGTGAGAGACGAGGGAGGAGTGAACTAGGCGATTGAGTGTTGACTGGAGATCAAGGTCCATCTATTAGTACCCTAGGGACATGATGATGTCGTTGACTGTAACGCCATCATCCGCCCCACGGCTCTCGGCCACCCACGGACCCTACTGACTTTACCTTACACAAACTGACGCAGTCTTCGGATCCTACGGTTCACTGGTTCTAGATACATCCCGTGAAATGTCCGGCGTGATGGCACCGGAGACAGTCCCGACCGATATCCGAACCCCCGATACTCGTGCATGGCTTCGAATATGCTATGTTTATCTCGGAGGACGGAAATAAGTGCTGAGTGAGCATGTTACCATGGGGCTATGATAGGAAGGTTGGACGACCTGTATCTACACTCGACGTTACCCCGGCATGACATCATGCTCCAGCTCTCGGATTGGGTAAGTCTCTCGGGACTCGGCCGTTCCACCGCCCAGCCGTTGCCCAGCCGATCCCTGCGGGTTTCGGCACCGATAGCCGCTCGCGCCGAGGCTAAGAAATTTGAGCTTGGGACATCGCGAAACGGAAACACAGGCTCTCTTGCTATTGGTATGTATGGGTCACACAAGCCACACCAAAACCAAATATCTAAGACATCGTCAGCATCATGACAAGGAACGGACCTCTCAGCGAACACACGCCCCTGCTATCACCTTCGGTCCCCAAGCCTCAGCAGATTTGGGCACGATGGCATCAGCATTTGGCAGCAAAAGTCTCACGGAGCTGGGCTGACTGCATCCTGATCCTGTGTTATCTCATCACGGGGCTGTTGGATAGCGCGTCGATCTCGGTCTGGGGTTCTTTCGTGTCGATGCAGACCGGTCAGTGATCCCCTGAAGGACTCCAATTCCATACTCAGCCCCACCACCACCCCCCTATCACCATCACCTCCAAGACAAGACAAACAACTCAGTCAAACTGTCATCAAAACACCACTCCCTAACGCATCTCCCCCTCTGCAGGCAACACCGTCTACCTCGGTCTCGGCCTCGCCGCACCATCCGCCTCAACCCGGTGGATCAAATCGGCCGTCTCCATCTCCGCCTTCTGCGTCGGCTCCTTCCTCTTCAGCCGCTTCCACCGGCGCTTCACACCCACGCGGCGATGGGTCCTCGCCGTGTCCTTCACCGCGCAGGCGTGCCTGACCAGCGTCGCCGCGGGGCTGGTGACGTCGGCCGGCCCGCCCCCGGACCCGGAGAACCTCGGCTGGCCGGTGCTGGTGCCCATCGCCCTGGTGGCCTTCCAGAGCTGCGGCCAGGCCGTGGTCAGCCGCGCGCTCGACTACAACGCGCTCACGAGCGTGGTGCTGACGAGTGTCTACTGTGATTTGTTTTCTGATGCGCGGTTGTTTAAGCTGGGGAATGTGCAGCGGAATCGTAGGAGTGCGGCGCCGCTGTTTTTGCTAGTGGGTGCGTTTCTTGGGGGTCACTTTGCTGATAGCTCGTGGGGTGTTGCGGGCGCGCTGTGGGCGGCGTCGATCCTTAAGTTTGCGTTGGTGGTGGTGTGGCTGGTCTGGCCTGCTGAGAGCCTGCGGGTGGAGGTGAGCTGAGGCTGAGAGTGAGGCGAGTTAAGGGGGGGCGAGTTATTGTTGTCAGCAACGTAGTTAGTTGATAGGATCCAGGGTAAGCCGATCACATTCGCTTCAACAACCTCTCAACGGCCACCCACCTCTTCGAACCCAGTGCCGTGACTCGAACGTCCTCCACTCAACAAAAGCCATGTTCCAAAGAGCCAAGCCAAGCATCCTGGCCCCTCCCCTCCCCTCGTCCTGGGCGTTTCATCACGAGATGACCCTGTCCCCCATGATGAAATAGAACTGCCGAAACTCAGGACAAATACAATGCTTTAGACTCCCTGAAGCGGCTCTATGAAAAACGGCCAACGGATAATAGGGGTATCACAACCAGGTTCGCGGAAGAATTATGCCAAACCCCTGATTGGGGCGCTTCATGAACCTTGGCTTGGAGACCAATAAGCCTTGACTTTATGCACCCCGCTCTGGCAAGGTAACATTCGCATGTGGCAGCACTTGCCAGACCTAGACCAAGCCCAGACTCTTTTTTTGGCTCGGCTCCGTCTGGCCCTAGAGCTTTTCCCCGATGCAGCACGGCGGACTAGTCAACATAGCTCCATTTGGAAGTGGTGTTGGTAGCCAAGAACTACGAGATCAGCCTCGGATAAGATGAACGGATGATCAACGGTAGTTCACCGTGTTATGAGTTCGTCGGTGAATGCTGTTTGTTCCTAAAGTCTATAAAAGGGGGTTGGGCTTCCTTTTTGTTCTTCCGGGCTCCACGTGAATATCATCCGCACCGTATCAAGCCAACATGATCTCCGTCTCTACCCTTGCTCTGGCCCTTCTGGCCGCCGCCCAGGCCGTCGAGTCCGCCTCGGCCGGTTGTGGCAAGAACCCCCCGACGTCGGGCACCAAGTCCATCAACGTCAACGGCAAGCAGCGCCAATACATTCTCCAACTCCCCAACAACTATGACTCCAGCAAAGCCCACCGTGTTGTCTTTGGATACCACTGGCGTGATGGGTCCATGAACGACGTGGCAAACGGCGGCTTCTACGGCTTGCGCTCCCTGTCCGGCGACAGCACCATCTTCATCGCCCCCAACGGCCTGAACGCTGGTTGGGCCAACAACGGCGGCGAGGACATCACCTTCACCGACCAGCTCGTGGCCATGCTCAAGAACGACCTCTGCGTCAACGAGGGCGAGTTCTTTGCCACAGGTTGGAGCTACGGCGGATCCATGAGCCACAGCGTGGCCTGCTCCCGGCCGGGTAGGTTCACCGTCCCCCTCAAACAACAACCCCCGACCAACCAAACCTGCTAACCACACCCCATAGACGTCTTCAGCGCCGTTTCCGTCATCGCCGGCGCCCAGCTCTCGGGCTGCTCCGGCGGCACCACGCCCGTGCCCTACCTCGGCATCCACGGCGCGGCCGACAACGTGCTGCCCATCTCCATGGGCCAGCAGCTGCGCGACAAGTGGCTGCAAACCAACGGTTGCACCTCCAAGAACGCGCCCAACCCGGGCGCGGGCCAACAGAACCACATCAAGACGACGTACAGCTGCTCCAAGGCGCCCGTCACCTGGATCGGCCACGGCGGCGGCCACGTGCCCGACCCGACCGGCACCAACGGCGTCAAGTTCGCCCCCGGCGAGACCTGGGACTTCTTCAACGCCGCCGTCGGCACCGGCGGCGGCACCAACCCCGGCACCCCGACTACCACCAACCCCGGCACCCAGCCCACCTCCAACCCCGGCACCAACTGCTCGGCCAAGTGGGGGCAGTGCGGTGGTCAGGGCTGGGCTGGCGCCACGTGCTGCGAGAGTGGCAGCACATGCCGCGCTTCGAATCAGTGGTACTCGCAGTGCATCTAAGAGAGGGAAGCTGGGGATAAGAAAGTGAGGCTTAGGGGTTGGTTTGAAGTTTCGTGTGCATAGTTATTTTCGCGGGGTATGATGGGATGGTCATACCTTCGAGTACATAGTCCGTTTGAGCCTCAACTCTTATATCGGCGCTGATACAACATCTTGGCCAACGGTCGTTGTTTTATCCGGGTGCATGTGGTCGTCGTGCCATTTCCTTTCTTGGGTTACGTCCGCTCCCACTTGTATGTAGTCAATACGGTTCCGCGGCTGCCTCGTTGACATTAGCCTAAGATCAAGCCGTTCAAATGCGAAAAAAAAAATGCATCGAAACGCCCGGTGTCCAAGGAGGATATGACGAGACCCCAGCTCGAGTCTATGCGATATGTTGTAGCTAACTCCCAGCTACTTCTTCATAAGTAAATGTACAAACGAAGCCCCTTTCCTTCGCTCTCCAGCCTATCAGTTTGATCCCCGCCCAAACTCCAGACCTGCCCCATCAACCGCTTAGTAGTTCGAGCAGCAGATGGTGTCGCCCTTGCGGGTGCTCGAGTGGTAGTAAAAGTCCAGGCTGAGCTGGTTCCAGCAGGCCGTGCGCAGTGAGTTCTTGGGCCATGTCTTGGGGCCGCCGGGAATGTTGATGGTGAAGGTGGTCTTCCCCCTCGTGGTGGACTTGTCGTAGTTGAGGATCCCGGTATCCTGGAGCGCATTCTCGACGTTGTCCCGGCAGAGGCTGCAGGCTCCGATCTTGACGGCCATTGTGGTGGTGGAAAAGCTCGTTTGGTAAGTTGGCGGAGAAGATGGTGGAAGGGTTGTGTACTGTGTGTACGGGAAGTGTGTTGGTTGTTTGCGTGACAGTCGTGGTGGTTGGTTGTGGTGATGAGGAAAAAAGGGAAAGGGGTATGGGAGTCTAATATATCACAACTCGAACGATCAAGTAACGGATTTGGGCTCGTATATGTTCATAAACAATGGGTCGCAATGCTTACTGGTTGTTAGGCCCATAAGTTGACGGCCATGTTTATGCGGAGTGAAACGACCTTTCACCACCAAGAGCATTGATGGAACAACCAAGCCAACTGAACGGGGTAGGTAGACCGTATCAGCCCGTGCCGCTTCCTAATATCCATACACATCGGTAAACGCTTTTGGGGCATTCTACTGTGGTCCTTTTAGCTCAGCTGGCCTCGGGCGGTGCAGGGAATGCAGAATTCTTAGCGGAGTGTTTGGAGGTGTAGTTGTCACTGGTGCCATCACCATGAACTTGGAGGGCAAGGCTAATAATCACTATCATGGTTCATGTCCCAAGATTCCTTACCCCAAAATTGGGTGACTACTTACACGCCTCGCATATCTTCGGATTCTGCTTGGTGTATGCCGACCCAGTTGGCCCAATACCTCCCCCAGGCTCCCGCGTTGACTGTCGAAAGGTCCACCAGGCGAGGTTGTGTTGCGCCATAATCTTGAAACAGGGATCTCACTCCAAGCTCTATGAGAACCCTAATTTAAACCCCATCATGACCCCACTGGCCGTTAGGTGCCATTCTCGGAAAACAAGGGGCGGCCCGTAGGCTTTCCTCGTCTGGCCGCAGCCATGTCGCTGGCGTTAGAAAACTATTTTCTTCCATTCCTAGCCTCATTTCCATCGGTACTCGGTTCCAGAGTCGCTATTTTGAGCTTCTGGAGTCGAAGGCCACATACGACAAAGTGTTACAGTCTCGGCATGCGGCGTAGCGGGTGGGTAACATTGACTGCTTGAAATCTCGGCGGGTTTTGGATCTCGTCTTAGAAGGGAAAGAGGGAACGTTCAAAACGAGTTCCAACCGCGGAGCCAGATTGGTGAACTTCTAACTCCAACAAGAGGGTCCCTGAGGGAGCTGTCAGCTTGCAACCACACGAAACCTGGGGAATTCAAAGTTCGAGAAGTGGGTAAGGTAACTACCTAAGGTAGTTAATATCAGTTCCTCCACAACCTGTGCCGCATACGGATTCGGAAGTGCCCAAAATCTGAAACGAGGTCTGCTGCCTGAGAAGTTGGTTTGTTGCGCTCTGAATTGTTACCATGGTGAAACCTGGGCTCATTTGTGACACATTCCGGCATACAACAGCTGTATTCATGAATACAAGGAGGCCTCAGAAGTCGACACAGGTGGTCTCGTAGACATAATACATCGTTTCCACTTAACTGTGGCCAAGCCAGACCACTCGGTCCAGTTATCTTTTAATAGACCTCTTCAGTATTCACATACATACGATAGCACATTCACTACGTTCATCTTTACCAACGAAACCGAAAGCCAAGAAAACCTAAACGCAGCAGTTAATGCTTCCGACATGCCTCTCAAACCCTACCTATGTGATCATATCTCCTTGCACTTACGAGGCATGGCGCCCCTTGTACCTACATTGGTGATGTGTTCTTTGGCCCAAAATACAGGACCAACAAGGCGATGAGAGCTAAACAGACTTACTACACTTTTGGCAACAAACAAAGCGCCCCAAGGTGGAGCAAGGAGTGGACCTACAGTCTAGCTGAAGGAATCGGTGCGTTTCAGTCGTGACTATATAAGTAAACTACAATCGGTGCTAACCCACAACCACCTCAGAAGGTCGTCTGCAACTCAGGATAATCCCCTGCATCGGCTTGTAGATCCGCAAAGATGCGGTCCGAGTCGTCTTTACCCAGCCCTTTCATCCTCTTCGCGTCTTCTTCCTCCAACTCCTCCATCTCCTCGGCGGGTTCCGCCTTGCCCTCCTTTTCGTCTTCTTCCTGCGGCGCCAATGCCTTCTCAGTCCCAGAGGACTCACCCACCAACAGGAACTGCGCGTTCTCGTAGTCCAGATGCTTTGGCTGGGTCGGAACCCATCGAAGCGACCGAAACTCCTCGAGCAGTCTACCAAGTCGTTAGCAAACAAGCCGTCCCCAAACACACCCACTTCCCCCCTTTCCACCCATAAAGAAAAAAGACAACAACAAAAAAAGAAACTCACTCCCTCGGAAAACTCCGCCCCCCCAGGCACCCCCTCCCTCCCCCTCCCCCTCGCCTCAAACTCCGGATTCCTCGTACTGACCACCCAACTCCCCCTCTCCCTCAACCCCACCGCCCTCTGCACCTCCCCCAACTCCCGCGGCAGCGTCAGCACGTACACCAGATGGCTGGCCTTCCCCGTGCTGGTCAGCGCATACACGCCCTCGGCGAGGGGCTTGGCCTGCGGCGCGTGCCGCGTCCCCGCCGTCTTGGTCTCGTAGGTGGACTCGGCGAGGACGCGGTCGCGGAGTTGGGTGAGGGAGGTGTGTGGGTTTTCGACGAAGCCGAGCCAGCGGTCGTGGCCGGTGAGGGGGAGGGTTTTTTTGGGGATGGCGCAGAGGCGGATGCGTGGGTGGGGATCGTTGGGGGGGTTGGGGGTGGTGGTGTGGAGGGTTTTGGTGTTGTGTGGGATGGGGCGGAGGGCGATGTGCGTGCGGGCGATGTCGTTGATGGAGGTGGGGGTTGAGATGTCGACGCGCGGGCGGATGAAGAAGTAGATGAGGCCTTTTTCGAGGATGCTGGCCGGGGTGGAGTCCGAGTCGGAGTCGGTGGATGGCTTCTCCTCTTTCGGGGGCTTGGTGTCCTCGCTGCCGTTTTCTTGTTTCTGCTGGTGCTGTTTGTCGGATTTGGCTTTGCCCCTGTGGCCAATAGGTAGGTTAGTCAGAGGGCCTAATGAAGGTAAGGGTAAGTGCGGCGTTGTATCGTACCCCTGGGTTGATGTCTCTTGTGCCTTGCCTTGCTCCCTTTCATCCCCTTCTTCGTTCTTGACCCGCTTAGGGCTGGGAGGCGCTGCAGTTTCCTGCGTCTTGTGCTTTGAGCCCGGCTGGGCTTCTTCACCAGGAGCTGTGCTTGTCGACTGGTCTTGTTTCTTGGCCGCGGATCTCGTTGTGGTTGTCATGTTGATTGCACGAATGGTGGATGTGGTACAGCGGTTTAGTCATTTGCTAGTTGATGGCTTCCAGGTTCTTATGCAAAAATAAGTGCTATTGATATTGTGGTTTCGGAATCCCAAAGTATTAAATCCCCCAAGATGTGGTGCTGCCCAGCTGTTGTGATGTCATAGACGACCAACAATGGAATCGCCTCAATATTCCAACCCATCACAGCACTTGGATTCAATGACGTTCAATGCTGTCTCGGAATGCCGCAAGCTGATTTGTCTACCATCCGAGGACGCAGTCCTGACCAACTGAAACAAGCACCCACTTCACTAATGCACCTACCCGTCTTCGATGCATCCTTTGCATTCTCAATTCGGAAACTTGGCTCGAGGGGGCGGTTGTACTTCTTGTGCTTCTTGCTAACTCGGAGCATCCATGAGAGGCGTGTCGGAGATGCCCTTAAAGTTCAACTAAGGTAGGTATTCGAGTCTTCTACTACCCTCCTGAGAGATAGCCAGCACTCGGAGATATTCGGCAAAGGAAATGATATGGTAGTAGTTTTAACACTCCGCAAACAGTAGGAGTGATCCTAAACTAACAGTTACCGACTTCGGGTTTCTAATTGCCTGACTGGTTCCTGCCTATCCCCCTTTCCTATCCCTGAAAATGCGACCCGCTGCGCTCTCGTATGCAAGTACACACATATTATATACACATAGTTATCGATGTTCTCGTCTGATCTTGTCTTCAAAGCCCAGAAAATGCGTTTCCAAAATGTTCAAGGATGTCATTAGATTCCGAAATTCCCTTCCACGACGGTCACCCAACGTCTCCGAAGACCGTCCTTCTCCCCCACCACCTTGCAGCAACAAGTTGAGAGCGGCAGTAAAGCGGCGGTCAGAACGTACGACGGCGGTCTCAGCAATCGTTCCGCAGATTGCGAGCCATCCCATGATGAGAGCGGTGTCGACTGAGCCATCCATCATCCGGAATTCCATGGTGCGAGGGTTTCGTTTCGCCCGTTCGTCTTCTTCTCCGAAAGCGCTGAAGTTGAAACCCAGTCGCCGGTACTTCTTCTCCGGGCCAGACAGCAGCCGGCCGAGTTCCAGGTGAGAAGTCGTCTTCGATATCTCGGCGAATGCGGCAACCTCTTCGGTTGGCGTTGCCGGCCGTCTTTGGATGACATCGTTGATTTGCCGGTCTGAGATGGACTTGAGCGCTGCATCCCCTAGAGCACCATCTCTAAGTTGAATTGCCAGCCGGCTGCGCTGTCGCATGGCGAATCCCCAGGTAAACGTATTGTCAAAGTTGGGCGAGCCCGGATCCCTGATGCTCCGTAGCGTCGGTTCTGCCACCCACAAGAAAGAACCCAGCCTCTGCAGCGTCGACAGGGACCAGGCGCGGCCATCCATGCGCCCGAGATGGATATGCACTTCGCAAGAGCAATTGGCGGCCAGTCGGTGGTCGGAGTTTAGCGCATCAAGGACCTTCTGCATCCGGATGCACGTCTGCTCATCCTTGAACCGCATCTTGGGCGAGCATATCTCGACCGAGACCCAAATATAGCCCTGGAGGGCCTTCTCCTCGTCCATGGGCTCCGCCGAGTTTGCTTTTTTGACAACCCAACCCGAACCCCAACACTCCTTCTCTTCGATGCCCGCGGTGAGGAGGGAATGCATGGTGACGGCCTCCTCGCCGGCGTCCCTGATCGTCTGCGCCACGCAGTCGTGGGCCTGCTCCAGGCATTGACGTTCATCGTCCTGGCATCGCGCTTCGACCAGTCGTCGCTTGTCGCCGGGCCGCGGGTCCTCTACCCCCGGCGCAAGCAGCGGGAATAACAACTTCCATTCGAGCGCCACCGAGATGTCCTCTGCGCGGTCGACCTGGGCGGCCGTTTGGCGGTTGTCCCTTTCGGGCGGGACATCATCGGCGATGTGCGCGCCCGGGTGGGCGGGATTGGCGGGAGCAGCAGCGGGAGCGGTGGGAGCAGCGGCGGCGTTGGTGGTCTGAGCTGTCTGGCTTGTCTGACTTGTCTCAGTGCTACCGCCGCTGCTCTGTCGATCATCGTCGAGAATGAAAGGCGCCATCCTCCAGGCCAGAGTCCCCTTCACGGTCGCGCGGATGAAGAGCGGAAAAGCCCATAACTTTGCCAGACCCAGCCCGAGGAGGAAGAGAATTACCGGAGGGCGGCGCCTCGAGACCCTGTCGGTCGATGGTATCATTCGTGGTCCTGGTCCAGGTCCGGGTCCCGGTGTTCGTCGAACTCGTCGAACCCCGCAAGGAATTATTATCAATCCCTCGGAGCGGCCGACCCCATGGTCATCCGCCGCAGCACATGGCAGAAGGGACAAGCCGGTTGGTTCGGGGGCTCGATAGGCGGCCAAGACCCCCATTCTCTCCAGGGCACTGGGATCTGGGGGACGTGGGTGCCACGGGTGCAGGTGCCGCTGCTGCAAAGAAGAAGGTCGAGGTGGTGGTCGTCCCAGGGGTGGTGGCAGCCGTCACAGGCCGAGTCCCTGCAATCATCACTGCAATCACGCTGACAAGAGCGTTGCGGTTGGCCAGTTCCGTGGCCCTCGGTGCCCCAAAAGCCCACAAAGCCCCATTCTTCAGACTGCTTCGGGCAGCAAAATCTGCAAGCGGACCACCATTGCATGGATACGTGCATGGCCCCATGCATGGTTGGCACATCACCAGACAGCAAAGCTCGAGACTCGACATCTGGTTCACTGCCTGCAAGATGCCGCCAACTGATTGTCAAATGCGGCATGGTCATCTTCTCCCCTGTTCATCCCCTCCCCGCAACAGAACCGTGTTCGGCTTCCCAGGGACCCCTCCTTTGTTGAGTCCATGGAGCTGTTGGTTGCTCACCGCAGGTTCGGGCCCTGCAGCAGCCACTCCCGCGAGTTAGTGAAATCGCCCCCCCCTTTGGTCTTGGGGGTCTTGGGGCCCTTTGTGTGTGCGGATTAAGCACCCTGGAACACCCCTGGCTGGCCGAGCACGCGCGGGCTTATCTCCGCCGGGAAAGCGACCTCACCCCCCTTCAAGAGCCAGGGGTGTCTCGCAACCGCCACATGACCCGCCCGTCAGCACCGAATCCATGGGCGACAGAGGGCGGTCAGGCTGCTGGAGGGACGGATTTCACTGTGGCTGCTTCGGCCAACCCGACCGCTGGCTTTCCCGCCCGCCGCGCCCGTCCCCTGGTCCGCCACTGGCTGCCCTCGCCGCACCCCACACTCGTTTCTGGGTTTCTGCCGGGCGCTCGGGAAAACAACTCCGGGAAAACTGCTCTTCCTAACCAGGCATTGGGAGCTCTTGGGAGGCTTTTCGATGGCGAATTCAGAAAAAGACACGATGGCGAGATCCCAAACCACCACGAGCCTGATCATCGGGAGGTATGAGCTGAGGGGCCAAACCCGAGCCGAAAACAGCGTGTTTGTCAGTTGGGAGATGGCAAGCAATTAACTGGCTGTTCGCGATTGGAAGCTTCTGCCCCAGCCGTGTCGCACGTCTGACGGGCGATCCAGGCAGGCAACGTGAGAATTGGCCGATGCACGTCCGTGATGGTTGCTCAGGGTTGAGCCAACAGTTGGTTCAAGACTCGGCTAAGGAAGTGAACCATGGAAAGGGAGAGAATATCAGGTGAGTAAGGGGGCGAAAACAAAAGAGCAATCAGCGGGCCGATTGTGAGGGTCCTTCTCCTGGGCCAGAACAGTGTTGGCATGTGAAGACGGATGGGAAGAAAAGAGCAATTCTTTTGCAAACAAAAAAAAAAAAAAAAAGAAAGAAAGAAAGAGAGATAAAAAAAGGACAGGAAAGGCAACGAAAATGAAGGCAACCAAGACAACGCCCAACAACAGACTGATGCTATGTAACTCAACTGGAAAACAAAAGGCAACGACTCATGATCAAACCGAGGCTCAACTTCCCAGGCCCAGACAAACACACAACTGCAAGCAACAACAACGACAGCAACGGGAACACCAACACAAACGCAATAACATTCATTACAAGATATCCCGGCCGTCGCAACGCCGGTCGTCCAGCAAAATCCCTCAAGAACGCTACCTATATATACCATTCCGTATCCCGTCAACCACATTTGTGCCGAACAGAACCCCGTCTCTTCGACAGCCATAGCCCCGCCCGCAGAAATATAAATCACCCAAGATGGCAACAACCGTGACACAGGACAGGCCATCCCCGACCATGCGTAAAAGTGCGTAAGTACATGATGCAAGAACAACAACAACGACCTCGAAAAAGATGGGAACCCGACTCCAAAAAACCTCGCACAAAGAAAATAAAACTGTCCGTCCCTCCCCCAACCCCCGACGTCACCAACCCACCCACCGACCAACTACCCCTCCCTACTCAGGCACCCTCTTCCCCCCACAATCCGGAATCTCAATCCCATCCTTCAACTTCCGATCGACCGTCATCAGCCCCCAATGGTCCTCCCACTCCTTCCCCTCAGTATTAAACCGGATCTTCCACGGCTCATCAAACGCCTCAAACCAGAAATACTCGGTCCCATCCCGCAGCGCGCGACACACCCAGTCCTCCATGAAAGTATTCATCTCCTTGATGCCCGCGACTGCCTTATCCGGGCAGTCCGTCTCCCACTCATTACCGCAGGCCATACCGCCTTGCGACGGCCAGCCCGTCTCAGCGATGATGTTCATGTCCTTCTGGTTTCTTGAGGAAGGTGCTGGTCTTGTTGCCCCAGAAGTACATGGTCCAGTCGGCACCCTCAGGAGGCCTTAGTGCCGGCGAAGAAGGGGTGGATGTTGGGAATGATGGCGTCGCTCTGGCCGGCGAGCCCCTCGGTCCACTTGTCGCCGAGGTCGCTGGTGGCGACGGGCAGGCTCATGCCGCGCGCCGTCAGGTTGTGCCGCACCTCCTCGAGGAGGGTGCCCAATGAGGTGATGGTCATTTGCTCGCGGAAGAGGATCTCGTTGGCTACGATGACGCCCTTGAAGTAGCTGTCGCCGTACTCGTCGAGGATGTCCCACATCTGGTTGAGCTGCCGCGCGTTGGTCGTGTCATTGCCGTCCTGCCAGACGCCGAGCCAGATCTTGACCTTGTCTTGGAGCTGGAGCTGGTTGACCGCGTGGATCAGCATCTGCGTCTGGTTGCAGTCGGTGCCGTAGAGCCGGACCACGTTGGTCATTTGTGACAGCACGGCGAGATCGCGTGTGATGTTGTTCTGCGACGGCGGGTCGTGGATGCATTCGGGGTATTGCGTGTTGAGCGGGGTGTAGTCCATGCCGGGGAAGACCTTGCGGAGGTCGGGGTTGTTCATGAGGGCTTGGATCTCGTCGGAGTCGATGCCGAGGTCGCCGTTCGCTTTGGTGTCGCCGTCGGCAGTGGCTGTACTATCGAACCCGCCTGCTGCGCCAGCGCTCTCGCTGCCGCCGTGTTTCTTCAGAACGACGCCGAAGACGATGCCGAGCACGATGGCGGCGATGATGACGATAGCGAGGGCCATTAGGATGATGAATTTCCACTTCTTACCGCGCTTGGCGGCTGGGGAAACAGCCGCCGCCTGCCACTCCTTCGAACCGCCAGCGCCAGCGCCCGCGGGGCCCGCGTTGTATATCCCCCCTCCACCTGACCCGCCCGAAATGGAACCACCACTGGCGGCGTTGTTGACGGGCGCGTACTCGTTGCTGATGCTCCCGCCGCTCCCGTTTCGACTGACCAAACCCCCTAAGACGCCGCCGGTGACCGCGCCGCCCGCGGCAGCGGCCCCCTTGTGACTGGATCCGAGACTGAGCATGCTAGTCCGCTGTCCCCTCCGTGCGTAATCGAGTCCGTCGTCGCCGTCGTCTATGATGTCGTGTGGGTTGACAACACCAAGGGCCGAGTCTTGGTGCCGCGAGAGATTTTGGTACGGGTCGTCCGTGTAGATATCCCCTAACCTCGATGGCGTCCGCTGTCCTGGTGTCGCGTATCCTGTGCCGGCGGACCCTGCGCTCAACCCTTGTAAACTCGAACGTGAGTTTCTGTCTCCCGGGTAGTAGTAGTCTCCCCTTGGCGGCAAGCCCCTCTCGCCGTAACCTTGTCCGTGTCCCTGCTGCTGGTATGGTTGCTGGCTATGTATAGCGTTGAGCCCACTCTCTCTTGCGTTCTGTTCGGCGACTGTCAGGGCGATTCCAGCCATGCCTCCCGCAGCAGCGTTGCCAAAGTTGTCCGCGCCCGGAGTGATGGTGCTCTGGGGAGAAGGCCGCTGTGTTGACGGCGGATACGAGTTCCCTTGTCCTCCTTGACCCCAGGAACGTCTGTCTGATCCGCGCTGTGGGGATCCCCGGTGTGGAGACCCCGAGTCGCCGTAAACGTTCGGTATTGCGCCGGGGGCGGCGTATGGTCCAGTCGCTCGTCCGCCGTTTCCGGCTTCTTGGCTGTATCGCCTCTGGGCTCGTTGTCTTTCGATCGACGGATCGCGGCGACCTCTGGACTGGTATTGGGATGATGGCGGGGGATAGTATGAGTCGTGGTATGGTTGTTGATGTTGGCGGTGACGAGGGGGAGATGGCTCTGCGGCGCCAAGCGGTTGGCGTTCGGCCATCTCGTCTTCTGAATAGTATCGTGGCTGCGCCATTGTTCACTGGTCTGAGACAGGCGCAGCACACAATTCGAGGATCACAACCTTCGGTCCTTTGGCCCCACCAGAGTGTCGCAGACTGTTTCGACTGGCTGGGACCGGCTTGGGAAATCGTAATCACCCCTCGCGCTCGTTCCGGGCGCACAGAAAGCGAATCGAAATTGGTCGGGCTCAATTGAGAGAAGCGTGGGTGGAACGAGGAATGGTGTGGCTTGGTCGCTTCGTGTCGAGAACGGACGGGAGTGGTGTGCTCAGGCGGGCGTCGCAACGCCTTCTGCACTCACTCGTATTTGGGCCCTGCGCCCCCTGCTATTTCCTTGTTTGGACCGCTCGCGAGGTTGGGGCTGTCGCAGGATCGCAAAATCCCCCACTCCATCGGCGGAGCACGGCGCTGTGCTCGAGAATGTCGGTCGTACGGGAGAATGCAAAGTTCATGTATGTACATGCGACGCAAACGGGTGCACGAAGCTGTCTTGGGAAAAATGTACACAAAAACTGGGACGGAAGAAACGGTTTCGGGTGTCGCAGCAACAGGTGAGCGACGCCGGCAACGCAACGAGTGGCTCCGCCAAGCACTCGACAGCGGGCTGCAGACCAGATTTGGACTTGGATCAAGCCTGAAGCTGCAACGGCTCTGGGGCTGGCTGGGGGGGCGAGGGCACAAAGTGAGCAGCCTGGCAACTCTCCGGCTGAAGTGGGATGAAATGGCTGAAAATGGAAACAAGCGGGGTCTGGCCCCTGAGTTCTGGACGAGGATTGGCTACAAGCCGCTGTTGGCTGGGCAGCGTCAGCCGCAACCATCTGCCCCGCCAAAAAAGGATCAAGCATCTGAGAGCACAAAATTTGAACCATTGAACCACACGAAGAGAACAGCCACCTTCGAACCTCATTTCCACACTGCATGCGACAGCCGAAGGCTGTTGGTCTGTCGCATTGGAGCCCAGATTTTGAGTTTCAATATTGACATCCCAACATTTGATCCGTCTGTCTCGGATCGTTTCTTTGTCGTTGCTGAGATATTTTGTTTGTTCCGTTCCCACGGAAGGAACGGAGTGACGCTCAGAGCCTTGCCCCACACATACGTCATGGCATGTCGTGGAGGAGTTGCCTCGTTGCGCGGTGAAACTGGACGAAACCAAATTTGGAGAGAAGGGATAACTTGCGTACCCAAATCACAGTCATCACAACTTCTTGGTCAACAGTGCGAACAAAGCTTAATTCTCGGTAGTTGCCGGCCTCGGCTGTGGGATTCCGGTAGTTATCGACACAGAGTGAGCAATTGTCTCGGAGTGTTCCAAGAAAGATAGCTCGTCAGCCGGACCAGCTGTTATGGCGCCCCGACTCGGCCGACAAGCCGAGAATGAGGCCGATCGCGAGTTTTGGACCGAGACCCAAAATCTCTTATCAGCGGACTCCCACCGAGCACCGGCCGGCGACAAAACAGCACCGAGCCAATCCCCTTGGCCCAGATCAGAAGTCATTTCCGATTCGGGCAGCTGCACATTGTGAGTCGGAATTCAAGCATCTCACCGTTGTATCGCAAAGAGCAAAAGCAATGCGTCAGCCGCGAATCGAACGCGGGGCCCATCGATGGCAACGATGGATTTTACCACTAAACCACTGACGCTTTGAATAGCAAAGCGTGCGGAATTCAGCCTCTATCATGGCGACGCAAGAAGAGTGGAAAGGTGTAACGACTCCCCAGTTACCAGACGCTCGAAATAGTTCTGGTGAGTCCAACACGAAGTACGATATTATTATTATTATTCATACTCCGCTATGCCCTAGGGCGTGCTGGACCCTCAGCTATTTAGTGTACAGGAAAACCGTGCCCTCGCGAGCCGGATGAAAAGCCCATATCGACTATTAAGGAAAATACGTGTGTGTGAGCCTAAGAGATACAAAGAGAGGAGGCCTCCTGGCCTCCGAAAAAGGGAGGGGGGGGGGTGGGTGTTGTTAGGCCGCCGCTTCCAGCTCGAGCCTCCTGGCTAAGTTGTACATCGGCAGCTTCCCCGAGTCCATCAGCCAGTCGAGGACTCTCCTCGCGAGCCGTGCAGTCGTGGGATTGATGCCGTGTCAACAGAGTAAAAGTCCCGTCGCCTTCGAATTCCGGTTCTCCCCCATCTTCGAGTCAGCGGTGGGGCCAAACACCACACTACCAGGCGTTCGGCAGTCTCTCGTCCCTCGCTACACTCGCAGGCAGGAGTCAAAATCTCCGGGACTCCCCGTGTAAACAAGAAGTCCCGTAAGCCTATTGCTCCCGTCCGGATTTGAATCAGCAGTGAGCTCTTCGCCTTGCTGAGACCGTCGTGCCTCCTTAGGGTCTCGTTCCGGAATAGCATCTCCCGCTGATGGTCAAAGTCGTCCGCCGGTCTGGTGGTTGCCCTGCCGTCCCGTTCCTTCAGCCACCTCGCTTTCCAGGCGTCTTGTACTGCCCTGTCCGTGTCTGCGATCCCCCCCGTCCAGCGCGCGATCGTGCTCGCGGCTTTCTCCACCGCCGTGGGCTCCCGTAGCCCTACGGTTCGCGGCCGGCCCCTGTTGCCGCTCCTCGAGCGTAGTCTCTGCTGTATCTTGCTACAGTGGTAAGAATAACGCTCCCTGCGGTCTTCTTGCCGTCTTGGCCGTCATCTAGGTCGGTTCGCTGGAGTCTGGTCTCAAAGTCCGCAAGCCGTTTGTTGAGATATAGGTCCAACGGTGGCACCCATGTCTCCGTCTCGAGGTTGCGGATGGGAGTGTGCTTGAAGGCTCCCGCTACAATCCGCAAGCTTTTGTTCTGGGCCTTCCCGAGAGCCTTGGTGGTGCCTTTCTTTACCGGCTCGCCTCCCACATCCGTGGGGATGTGGAACGACGATGCGCCATAGGCCAGCGCTGACCGGATGCACTTTGTGTACACTTCTCGCGCTTTGGCTAGCCCCAGTCCCCACGTCGACGCCGCTAGCCTCGACAGGGCATAGCTCTGGGTCCTCAGCTTCCTCTCCACCGCTGCCAGGTGGGCTTTCCAGTTGAGCTTCCGGTCCAGCCAGACTCCCAGGAACCTGGCAGACTCCTTCGGTCTGACGGGGCTGGTGCCTCTTCCTGGGCTGGTGAGTTCCAGCTGGTTTGACCACTGCCGTCGCCCCTTGTTGAAATGGATCAGTTCGCTCTTTTCCGGGGCGAACTTCATCCCCCGACTGTCCGCCCATCGTATACACGTTCCACACGCCGCCTCTAGTTGCCGAAGTACGATATTATCATCCATTCGTGTTGGTTTGTCAGGCACTCTAGACTTCTCGTTAAACCGTAGGCAGCCATGAAAAGTTTTCCTTACACTTGTGCTGCAAGATGCTTGGATCCTTCACACAGCCCCTTTTCCATATCCACCTTCTGAGAACAAGATTCCAGGTAGTAGTCAAGGTCTATTAGAGGATGACAAGGTCCGTGGCCTTGGGCTGGTTATTCTGAACCAGATGGAGAGCGAAATCTAGGGTGGCCTTCATCTGGACCGGGCGGAGCTTCGACTTTGTATTCTGGTCGATATAGACCTTTGAGATATAGACTTTCGAGTCCGGGTAATGTAGGAAAAGGGGACGGAGCTTGGTGAAGGGGTGGGGGCAAGCTCCGGAAAACGAGTCTTGGTACGCGCCTCCAGGGGCTCTACCGGCAGCAAAGTAACTGCGTAAGGTGTTGCATTGCGGAGCGTACTCGAAAGGAACCTCTGGGTACAGCGCTTGCGCTACCTAGTCAAAGAAGCCTTCGGCTATGCAGAGCTGCATGGTCAAGCGGTAGACGGGTATACCGCAACCCAGGAGGAACGCTAATGTAGAAACCCCCCTATCTTCGGCGAAGCGATTATGGAGGTTGCCGCACTCGTCTGTTTCGATGTGGGCCGACAATACCGGCTTCAACTGCTTGGGGTCACGCCCAAGGACGCAGAGGAGCAAGACATTGGCCGCGACACAAATACAGTCCGGCATGTTTATATTGGCGGCCTCGTCGATCAGCACTTCCCGAGCCGGCTTCTGCGTGTACTCGAGGAAGCGACTTCCGCAGAGCAGATCTGTCCGGAGAACGATCTGCCTCATGAATGGTTTGAAGTCGGGGAGCCCGCCTCACCTCAACTTCGGCCCCATGTCGCTGCTTGAGGCGATTGATTACGCGACAGGCGACCACACCACATATGCTAGTTCACAACCACGGTAGTCGCATTTTCGATTGCAACACCACCCTGAGAGGTGTAGATGACATAAATAAATACCATCCCATACAAACGACAACAGCTTGAACCGGGTTTCGTGCTCGACAACATTATTCACACTAGTGACACATACTCACATCAAAGCTCACAGAGCAACGCCAAGCAGAGTGTGATCTGCGACGGCCCTTCTCTCAAGAAGCAGGCGTTACGGCTCGTGGAATCGACGTTCCCAGTGCAATACAGGACATCAACTACAATCGCCAGGTCATGGAGCGAGTGGTTTCAACGACAAACAATTTTCAATATGTTGAGCGCGACGGTTTGTTAGCAAAGTTGTTCAAGAACACCCGAGGGGTGGCTAGGTATCTTGTTTTCCTCTCTCTCTCTCTCTCTCTCTCTCTCTCTCTCTCTCTCTCTCTCTCTCTCTCTCTCTCTCTCTCTCGTGCGTAAGTTGGTCGTCCAACCCAATGATCCTCGATAACTTTTACGGCACCAATGTCGTAATTCCCATTATCCATTACGACTTCCGTGAGATCTCGGAACACCCCGACGTCGATCGAGACTATTCAATCGTTCGAGTTAGCTGGCGGGTTATGAAGTCCCAACTGCAATCCGGTGGTACTGTCTTCCAGCTGGGCGAAGAGGGCGAGTGCAAGATTCCCCAACCGGGAGAGTCCGCTGGGGTCAGGGTTGTCTTCGAGGATGATTCGGTCCCCTGCCGGACCAAAAACCCCATATCGCTCTTGGACATCACCACCAACTCTCCCGAGTAGCTCGCTGCATACAAAGTCATAGCCTATATTGCTGACGCCCACGAAGGTATCCCGCCCCTGATGGAGAAATCCGCCGCTCCGTCATTCAACGCGCCCTCGGAGTGTTCCGCCCGCAGCAATAGTGTTACTATCGATGGTTCTAGCAGTGGCAGTTCCGACAGCGGAATCGGTGATTGTGCTAGTGATGATCCGACAGCTGACGAGGCTGTAGGTAGCTAAGTAGTACCGCACCATAACCACCGCTTTAGTGTCGGGCCAGAGACAACCCGCTCCTGTCAAATCCCCGGCCCAAATGAAGCGGACATGACCACGCTAGATATCGTGGGAGATGGAAACGCCGAAGCGTTCAATGCAAGCGAACAGGCTATCTAACCTTACGTCGACGAAGAGAGTAGAGTTGGCGAGGCTGTAGGTGGTTCAGGCGGGAACGATAGCAATGCCAATGATAAGTAATGATTGTTAAGTGTTAGAGATACGAGGACTGCCGTGGAGGGAGAAGACAAGTGAGAAACGAAGTATCGATGTATGTAGATTACCTCGATGAAGACCCAAGCTCCTGGCCACAGCTCAATACTATGCAGTCAAAAATTGACATGTTTGGTGGGGCCCTACTTTCCACCGTTGCGGTTCCAGCGAGGAATATTGAGCATTGGGATGGCGTCGGTCCCTTAGCCCTGGGCTGGACGCATTGAACTGCCAACTCAGCAGTAATACCCTAGATGTGGAGAGAGAGAAACTGCGCATGAGAGGTTGCTAACTTGGTATCCGTCTAGGGACCTCTTTAAGGAGGCGAGAGTGTACGGAAGCGACGAATGCTTGTGGACACGAAACGACTTGAAGCACATATGATCGGATGCAAAGCACACAACCAGTCAACAACTCAGGCGGTAGAGAGGTAGGGAGCAGATTATATCTCGACGTTCCCCCCGAGTTCAATTTGATGGCATCTTGATGCGTTTGGTAGATGTTTCCCTGGCCGATGTCAGGCATGGTGCCCCTGTTAGAGCTAACTTGTCTTAACTTTAGCTGCAGTGATCCGAGTGGAGGTGTTTCAGCTGTCCCCAAAAAAGGAAAAACGCTTTTACCGCTAGTTGGGAGGGCTTGGCTATGTGGTTAGCTACGTCCGAAAAGGTTACAAAAAGAAAGCGTAGTGGTATGGTCATCCCTGGTTAACCGTTGCTTCTTGCCACAAAGGGGCAACTCCGCGGGACTTTTGTGATAGAAAGCTGACACGCCGGCGGGTCTTTTTGTAGGCGCGCTGACGAGCGTATTCAATGAACCGAGCGTATCATCGACGAACCGGGTAAGCGAGTAGAGGACATCCACGGATCTTCCCACCCTCCCTTGCAGCAGCCCAATAGGACAAGCCCCCGTTTCAACGCTAGATGATCACAGCGCTAAGTAGAAGGCCGGGCTGATTTGTTGTTCGGCTGAGAAGTTTATATATATATATATATGCACCGCTCCCTTTCTTCCGCGTCTGGCGTCGTGCCGGGTCGCCCTCTCGTGGATTCACTCCGCATCTTATCGGCCACCTTACTTTTCCCGACAATTCTCCTTTTCAATCCGGGCTCCGACCGGCCATGCGCGTTGTGATTGTGGGCTCGGGACTGAGCGGCTTGGTCATGGGCCATTGCTTGCTCAAGGCTGGCATTGACGATTTTGTCATCCTGGAACGTCGAGCAGACCCTGTGGAACGAAGCGGCTCGGTCATCGGTTTCTTCTCACAGACGTTCAGGATTATGGATCAGATCGACCTGCTTGATGACATCCAAGGACTGTCGAAACCGTTGTACCATTGGATTCACCTTGATCCACGGGGTCGAACCATTTTTGACGGCGAGTTCTTCGATCGTATACAAACCAAGTAAGTTTTCTAGTAGTTATGTCAACATCAAGGCTAACCATCGGATGTTAAGCCACGGGCATCCCTCTCTGGTCCTGATGCGCCACGAGGTGATGAAAATCCTCTACTCCAAGTTACCAGACAGAGAGCGCTACGTTCTGCCGAACAAAAAAGTTACTACTGTAAAGCAAGATGATTCCTCTGTCACGGTCACCTGCGCGGACGGGTCGACATACGAAGGCGACATTCTGGTTGGTTGCGATGGGGTGCATAGTGCGGTGCGGCGTTTAGCTTTTGAACCGATCAAAGGGAAACCGGAGCCGCCTCTTGGTTCCGAGTACCGCGGTCTGTTCGGGTCGAGCCCTCTGCCTGAGGGCCTTCCACCGTGCAACATTACCGAGACCCACGACAGCGGCATTGTCTTTATGCTTCTGTGTTCGCATGATACCGCATTCTTCCTGGTTACCGAGCTCAAAGACAAGGACGCGCCAGCCAGCCGGAAATACACCGAAGAGGACATCCATGTCTTCGTCGAGAAGTACAAGGACCACTCGGTCGCGTCAGGGGCAAAGGTGACCTTTGGGGACATCTGGCGGACTCGAAATCTGTCACCCGGGCCGAACATGTACGACTACAACGAGGGTGTTGCGGAGCAGTGGTATAACGGGAGAGTGGTGACTGTCGGAGACTCGGCACATAAGGTAAATTCCTATGATGGTGTCATCGAAGCCTGAAGTACTTAGCTAACGGACATCCTCCTTAAGATGACGCCGAATCTTGGGCAAGGAGGCAACAACGCGATTCAATCCGTCGCATCCTTTGTCAACCATCTTCACGCACTTGCCCAGGAGAAGCCCAGCCCGACGGTAACGGATTGCGAAAAAGCCTTTGCTGGCTTCCAGAAGGAACGCCAGGAACCGGTGAGATTCATCGCCAAGTTGACAGGGAATTACACTCGATGGGGTTCCTGGCGGACTTGGTTCGGCTGGTTGATACAGTCCTGGATCTGGCCGCTGATCGGTGACCGGTTCGTCGTAGATAGGATGCTCTCTCCGATTGTCAAGGATAGTATCACATTGGACTTTGTGAAGGAGAAGAACCTCCCTCCTGGCAAAGTACCCTGGACGCGCTGATGGGTTTTGTCTGGGAGTTGAGGAGACTGGAGTGCAAGCTGGGGATGGGTGGGCCGCGGCATGTTGAACACGGTACCTATACAGAATACGAAGTGACGTTTTGTTCAAAGCACGTTTCTTTTCCCGGGGAACTGGCTATCGGAGCAAGTGTGTAGCTCATCATAACAAAACTGACGTTCCCAATGTGCGTGTCAAAAAGTGTTCTTCCTTTTCAATCTTGGCACCCACCCACACCACCGCTGACATTCTAACAACCACAACTCTGTCAAAACAAATGCAATTTGCTAGCTAAATATAGGAGAATGAAACCATGGAAAGGGGAATCAAAATTTGGTATACCACCTACGTACCCGTGCGAGGGCTTCCAAATTTCTAGGCATTGAATCGATCAAAACCATCGTTAATTAACCCCTGACCCCCTGCGGTACCCTCTCCCACGCTACCTTCAGGATCTCCATATTGATGTCTCTGTTTTCCTTTTTTATTTTCTTTTTTATTTACAACTTCCTATTGCGGATCGCAGGCCAAGAAGTTTAGATGAAGTACCCGTTCATCCAAATCGGGATCTTTGCTGGTGCTACACTTGTCTCACGGGACTGACTGTTCTTGCTGACCGAGTAGAGGCTGCGTGCCTCTATCCCAGTAGGATGCAACTTGTCCCGATAGATTTGTCTCACGCAACAGGTTTGTGGGCTGCCGCTTGCTGGTGACTTTCTTCCCGCGAGAGACACAAGCTGGACTAATACAACATTGAAGTCGCACCAGCCATGTGCTGTGACCGTTGTCCTACATCCATCCATGTCACCACGCTTCCCCACGTCTGTTGGGCCCGCCACAGCCGGTCTTTGTGAATAAGGTACCTATGTTGGCCGTCTGGTTGTTTTCCGTGGCCAAGGTCGCGTTTGCTGCAGTATTCCCTGTTCCCAGAAGCCCCAATAAGGAAGCTTGGCCCTTCAGAACAACCCCAGCATGCCCAGCTGCCCAGTACCCCTCACCAAATTCACTCCGCTCGCATGTGCAGTCAGCTGCACTTCGGCCGATCTCAGACACAAAAAGTGGCACCCTCGTGATCACAAAACCACCAAACCCGCCTCCACGCCCGCAGCAGCCTCCATCCGCTCGGGTTGTGTTTCCCAACAGTGAATCGCCCAACCGCACTTGGAAGGTCAGAAGCAGGTCTGTTCTGTTCACTCAGCACTGTCATCTCTGCAGAGTTCGGACGAACAACCCTGAACAAGAGAGGCCCGTCGGTGACGTGCGGAGACCTATCCTCGAGTCCTCACTATAAAGTCTGACGCTCTCCTTTCCCATCATGGCTTCAACATCTTTTCACATCTTTGACCATCTCTCAACTTTCCTTCCACCAGGAATATCCATAAACATCACCTCCCCTACCGATCTTTGGTTTCGTTTTGCCCAACAGCTTTCCACCATGAATTTCCTTGAATTCTTCCTCTTGTTATTCGGCCTCTTTTCAGTACACGGCAAAGCAGCAACACCGTACGAGCTTCGCCCGCCTCCGCTAGACACCCCTTGGACAGAGAAGGTCGGAACCCAGCCCTGGCCACAGTACCCTCGCCCCCAGCTTCGCCGCGATGTTTGGCAGTCACTCAACGGGATCTGGACCTACCAGCCCGCCCAAGGAGCTGACGCTGTCGCCAACCCGCCGGCTTTACCTCTGGAGAAGGAGACTCTGATCCCTTCATGCATCGAGAGCGGTATCTCCGGCATCATGGACATGAGCTTCACCGTCACCCACATGTGGTTTGGTACCAACTTCACCGTCCCGCCGCGCTGGGCTGAGGATGGCCGCCGGGTCTTGCTGAACTTTGAGGCTGTCGACTATGAGGCTACTGTTTACGTCAACGGCGCCAAGGTCGGTTTCAACCGCGGCGGCTACTCCCGCTTTACGCTTGATGTCACAGAACATATCACCTCGGACAAAGTCAACGAGTTGTATGTATTCCCCAGTGTGGAACTGTGAATGTGAAATCAGCTTACCAGGGTCCAGGCACGTCTTCGTCTTTGATCCCACGGACGATCAATCCATCCCCCAGGGCAAGCAGACCAAACGGCTATCGCACATCTTTTATGTGCCTTGCACGGGCATTTGGCAGACAGTGTGGCTTGAGAGTGTGCCCAAAAACTTCATCTCGACCGTGGATCTGTCAGCCGACATGAACGGCGAGGGTAAGTCCGGTCTTCAGTGGGTGTGATGCATCCATATCTAACTTCATGACAGTTACTGCTACCGTCCATAGCTGGGCAAAGGGTGCGACTCCCGTCGAGATCTCTGTGGCAGGCCCACACGGCGATGTGGTGGCAACTCACCAACATGTCTCGGACAAGACTTTTACCTTCCAGGTTGACTCGCCGGAGCTGTGGTCTCCCGACTCCCCGACCCTTTACAACGTGACCATCACGATGGGGAAGGATGAGGTTCAGAGCTACACTGGCTTCCGCACCTTTTCCGCGGGCGAGATTGACGGCGTGCAGCGCCCCCTCCTCAACGACGAGTTTGTCTTTATGTTTGGTCCCCTCGACCAGGGGTATTGGCCAGATGGCATCTACACCCCCCCGTCGCTGGAAGCCATGGTCTACGACCTGGAGGTTATCAAGGACCTCGGCATGAACATGGGTAGGCCGTAAAGCGCCGTTTTACCTTGTGGGCAAAGCTAACGTCGTGCAGTCAGGAAACACATCAAGATCGAGCCAGACCTTTTCTACGAAGCCTGCGACCGTCTCGGTCTTCTCGTGATCCAAGACATGCCGTCGATGCGGGTGCACACCAACGCCAGGCCCACGGACGCGGAACAGGCCGAGTTCCAACGCCAACTCGAGATCATGGATCAACGAGCACAAGAGCTACCCAAGCATCATCACCTGGGTCATCTACAACGAGGGATGGGGCCAGATCACCGACTATCACCCAGAGTTCGCCCTGACCGAGCGTGTCCGCGAGCTGGACCCGACCAGGCTGATCGATGCGGTCACCGGCTGGCATGACCACGGCGCAGGGGACTACTCGGTAGGTTATCCGCCCCGTAATACATACAAGCAACAGTGACTAACCACCTAACCACCAGGACAACCACAAATACGCCGAGCCCCAATGCGGCACCCCCTTCTTCTCGCGGCCCTCCTCACCCTACGACCCCAACCGCATCGGTTTCCAAGGCGAGTTCGGCGGCATCGGCATCCGCCTCGCCGACGAGAAGTACGTCGTCAACTCCCATTCTCCCTCCCCCCTTCCCTTCCTCCTCCCCTTCCCCTCCCCCCCTGCCCCCACCAGCACCACCCCACTAAATCCCTTCTCAACACCAGGCCTTGGCTCATCCCGGCGCGGGTCAACAGCATCAACGATACGTACGAAATCCACTCGGGCGCCGAATCCTTCCACTACCGGGCGCACGTGCTGCTCACGCAGCTGCGCGAGCAGGTCGAGCGGTACGCGTGCAGCGGCGCCGTGTACACGCAGACGACCGACGTCGAAGGCGAGGTCAACGGCCTGCTGACCATGGACCGGCGCGTGCTGAAGGTGGATCGGGAGCGGTGGAGGGCGGATATTGAGGGGTTGTATGAGGCTGCGGGGGAGAGGGCGTAGTCCTCCCTCCCGTGTCTCCCGGACTGGACTGGACTGGACTGGACTTGATGGACGTGGCTGCGCGGATGGGGCGTGTCGTGTCGTCTGGCGGCGTGGCGTCTGTTGGCTTGTTGGTTATGGCCTGGGGTCTGTCCGTCCGTCCGTCTGCCTGGGTGGGTGTGTGTGTGAGTGTCTCTTTTTCGGGAGGGGGGGTTGTGATTGGTTGTTTTGGTTGAGTGCCCGGTTGGTTGGTTCACTGGGTTGGTTGGTTCGGTGCACTTCTTTTGCTATTGGTCTGTCTGACTGGTGTGGTATCTGGTCGGGTAAGGCAGTCTTGGCCCTCAGTTTGGGAGCTGTAGGAGATCTGCCGTAGGCTTGGTAATGCACGATCCCCCATAATGCTGAGTGAACTGATAGTTGTGCTGTTCTGCTGCTATTCATGCCGGTCAGTTGACATCTCCAAAAAGCGTGACCAACCGCCAAGGAGGACTTGTCTCTCGCCCTTCCCGAGATAGGAAGGTGTTTTCCCCCATAATCCTCATCACCCTGCAGTATATTCTGCATCCCTCTTTGGTGGGCTCCCTAAGTTGCGCACCTCGACGTCATCGCGTCAGACTTCATGCGAGACAGCTGGATCATGGTCAGCTGTTGTGCGTCAGTCGCACGACACAGGTTGCCGTCGTGCGGTCCCTTTCTTGACTTCCCCGGGGTTGCATCGCGGGGAAGCTCGACGGGACGGCACATGTCTCCCGGCAGTGCCTGGGCGGTGGAACGGCGTACACCAACGTGGCGGTGTGGTGGGACGTGGTTTTATAAGAGAGGGTTTTGATAGTTATGTGAGTTGGTTAAGTTCTTTGACGCGCATGCCGCAGCGGGGTTTCCATTGCGAGGAAGAGCGGGGAATATCATGGATGTTCGAGGTGTTGCATTCCCGACTTGGTCACTTAAAATTCAAGGCTGTGAACTCATAGGGACGGACGGAGAACGCAGCCGTTGAAGTCTTGCAAGAGTAACCGGAAAGGCTATACTCATCCCTGTATTGGGCCAGGAAGATTTGACCTCCCGATTACATGTACCCACTCAGTTGCTCAGGGGGTTTTGAGAGAAATTGGTGGCTGGCAAACACGCCACCGCTTGGACGATTGAACTCGATTGTACTTCTATACTTCTACTCCCTCCGAGCAAGGCCCACTTGAACTGTCGTTTACTCAACATCGACGGACCTCCATCGACCGAAGGTGGAGTACATCGGTACCTAGCCTCAACAAAAACAAATTATCCGCTCGACGGCCCACAACAACGCAACCCACCTCTACTCCTCTGTGGCGCAATTGGCTAGCGCGTCTGACTGTTAATCAGGAGGTTGGAAGTTCGAGCCTTCCCGGAGGAGACGGTGAAAGAGCTACTATTTTGCTTGGTTTTTGATTTTTTTGCGGTTGGTCCTCAGGGGCAGAGGGGCCATCTCATCCCGGTTCTAGTTAGGTACCTGGTAGGTAGATGTGCTATACTGAGAATGATTGACAGATTGACGTACAACACAATTGAGAGTTTTCGGAAGCTTGTTAGCTGGTATCGAGAGCGCAGATACCAAGACAGAGGTTGAAGCACGTTCAAAAGGTTGACCGGTTGATGAGGGAGAAGTAGCCCGACGAAGACCCAAGACCCTGAGTCGCCAGCCATTCTGGTTCTAGTGAATAGATGCCCAGGAGGCTATTCTACTATGGGGGAAATGGTTGCCTGCACTCCAAGTCAAATTTGTTTGGATCCTTTGCCGTCGTCTCATCCTATCGATTCAGCGTTGGATACTGGGACCTGCCCCTTTTCTCGCCGGAGACTGCAGAGCGCCCATAACCAAACACATGCCGCATGGCGTTATGGACGGAACATTGTGGATAGATGGTTCATTTGTTTGTCGACTAAGTAGTTATACAGGATCCAATTCTTGAGCCGTCACTGTGGCAGCTTTCTATGAGGGGTGAAATTTGAGAGCGGTGGTCGGTTCTCTAGACTGGAGAGACGATAAGGCTTGAATAGATAGTGGAAAACATGTACATAATGCATACATGTACCTGCATCCATTCACTGACTCGTGTATCTCGGTTTTAAGGAATCAAATGCCGCCTGAATGCGACGTTTCCAGAGATTAGACTGGGTGAGTGTGCCCACGATGACAACATCAAATTTTGGAACGTGGAGCAAGTCAGCCGTTAGTTCCGGTTTGCCTTTGCTTATCGGTTCGCTGGCTCCAAACTCCCCTTTCCCATAAACGGGTCATCCGAGTCAGCTTTCCATGGAACCCCGAGAGATGATCCCGAAACTCGCCGAGGGTTTCGACAACCACATCTCCTTATATACCCCGCGCCCACCACGCGATAGAGAAAATGCAATTCGGATCCAAGTCAGGCTTTGGGGTTGTTCCCAGGCCTTCAATCCCCACCTAGTCTCACGTCACGACAGAGATGAGATGGAGTCGCCTCAGCTACCTCCCGGGGGGCTCGGGCCTTGAAGAGATCCATCATGATTTGATCTCCATGTTCCCAGATGGTGGTGGTAAGGGATATCTGCGACCGAGGCGTTTCAACGAGCAAGATCTAATGGGTCTTGAGGGGGTCGGCCTCGGAGTGCAAGCGGGCGGCGATGTTGGAATCAGAGCGGTTTTCCGTTGCCGCGGTCAGAACGAGTCGGGCGTCATTTAAATCCACTTCCCAAGCCTAGCCGGCCATTCCAACCCACTGTGGTTCAGCGCATCTTTATGTTATCAACTCCATGCTCGGGTAATGGGATGTCAGGGGACCTCCCACCCTTGGGGTCCTTCGAACTGAGCAAAGATCGAGGCATTGTTCTTGACGACTGGAAATAGGCTTCTCGGTGCTATTATCCTTGTCTGAACACGCGAAGGACAGACATTTCTTGCACCCCTGGAAAGCTTGTTCCTGGCGATGGTGGAGATATGATTGGGAGGTGGCTTCCGGATGGAGTTGTCATGGAAGCTGTGCTTGGTTCCGATGTTTGTTGCGCTAGAACATAGCTTAGAAGCACTTGACAATAAGACTAGGCAGGTCGTTTCCTGATACTATGATTACATCGGTAATGTCTGGTTAAAGGGATGCTCGATTGAGAGATGGACGTAAACATAGTCTTATTATAACAGCTAAATATACAAGAAAGGAAAGACAACCTCATTAGTTTGTTTTCCCGATACAAAGTAACAAAAATCTCAAATCCCATCGTCCACCTATCCGGAGATACGACTAGAAAATCCCGAAGGCGGGATCATCCTCGTCGTCTAACTGGCTAAAACCCGGGGTATTATCCGTGATCGATACCTCAGGAGGCGCCCGATCCTCAATACAGAGGTTCGTAAACGCCTCTGTCAATACATCCCGCAAAACATCGATGTTGAGGCGCCGCATGCCCAGCATGACTGTCTCGAAGGATACTCGGCACTGGATTTTGGAACTGTGCTGTTCCGTATCTACCCCGGACATCGGATCCGTCGGGGTAGCCTCATCACCGCCTTCTTTCAGGTTATTATTATTAGCCGGGATTATAACCTCAGAGAGGAGCCACGTGACGACGCCGAGGTTATCTTAGTCGAGGGCATCGACAGCCAGAAATTTGTCGATTGCCTGGGCCGTCTTGCAGTGCTTCGAAATGCTGTAAGGATCCCTTGGGTTTCTGTGCCAGTTCTGGCGGGCGGCGCGTAGCAGGAGGAATATCCCAGCTAGGAACTTGAGGTTGCGCCGCATCCAGATATGCTGGAGGGCGGGGAGGCGACGGATGGAGGATATCACCTCGATGGGATTGTCCTCAAAATGGCTGATCTGACAATTCTCTTTTGAAGCCTGTATTAAATTTGTGGCTTCTCGGAAGATTTGGGAGAACGTGTCATCGAGCAGACGGGTAGTTATTTGGCGCGCACCGGTGCCCGCCTTGATGGCCGTCACGATGCCGATTTCGCTGCGGCTTCGGTTCATGAGGGTGTTTTTGAAATGGTACACCATGCCGGCCTTCGGCATTTTTTCCCGCCGGCTGAATCTTGGTTTGATAACTATGGATGTTGCGGTTATCAAGATGGCGCTCTTCGTGTCGCGCATTGTGCTTTTGGTGTTGTGGCCCTTTTGACTTGAGCGAGCGGCGCGGCTTTTAGTTTCCATGATGTCGGCGATCAATTGATCGGGAGACGTAAGAGAAGGACGAGAAAATGTGATTCTTGGGAAGAAGGGCCGCAGCCTGAGCAGGAGGAGACTGGAGGCGGTGGACAGCGATACTCAAGCGGGAAGAGATAGGCCGATTTTATTGAATTAGTAAAAGCAGCCGAAGAGAACGAATGAAAAAAGGCAAATAGTAACAAAGAGAGCAGGATTTGTAAATCCCGGAAATTTCTATGTGCTCAGAGAAAGTTTGGAATTGTATGGTGGGTGGCGATGGGGAAGATGAAGCGAGTCGGGTCACTCTTTCTAGGTTAGGTCAGTCGCGATTTAAAGAATTGGGGAAACATCGCGTGGGAAATGATTGACCTGTACTGCGGCCGCGTCGGCAGAAGAAAACACCTTCACCGAGTTCACGGGGTGATGAGACGGAGGGCAGAAGCCTGCCCGGGTTATTAATTCGGCGGCATCCGGTTGCCAGACGCTGGGCGCATATAGATCCCCTTTGCACAGTACCAACTCAACAAATTGGAGAGCGGAAGGTGGTTAGCTCAGCGGTTTAGCTTTGTTACCACATCTGCACCCGAGATAATTGTTCCACTGTGCCCAAGGAGGCTCAGGGTTCGATTCCTTGCACGCAAGTCTGGGGCATATGCCGGTTCTTATAGCGGCCAAGTCGTCGCTGGCCTTTTCCGATCATGCACACCGCCCTTGCGTAAAAGGAAGAAAACCCATCAAGCAGTGAAACATGGCCAGGTTATCTGGTGTGTAGATGTGTCGGCAGGGACAGACGGTTGGTGGCCTGATTGGCACAGGTGCGCTTACAACCTTCTGAGCTCCAAGTGTAGAGATATGGGACACTGCATCTAATTGCAAATAGTAGAAAAAAAAGGTAGTTAGAAGAAAGAGTTGTCTCTTCAAAGGTAGAAGGCGCCTCAGCCTGCACTGCAATACACACACACACACACACACACGATTTATTCCGCCCGGCGGGCCTAACCCGAAAGGGCAACTATCATGCAATCTACTAATACATATCCTAAAATGGATCCTGGTCTCATGAAGCCCGTACATCCTCCTTTTCTGGCTTAACTCCTTACAATCTTTGTCACGGGGCGGGGTCAGGGGAGTCGCGGGACAGGGTCAGGTTCTGGCTAATGACTGAGTTGTGCGATGAGGAGAGAGGAAGCTCTCGCAAGGGGACGCTAACGGAGAGGAGATCCTGCTGCTAGTGTGGTTCCAGGTCGCGTGGGCACGTGCTGCCCACGTGACCCAAGCAGGTCAGGCTTGGTGCCGTGACAATCTTGCCCTCTCTGCTGCGGGTGCTCGTGGGTTAGTAGTACGAAAAGTAAGCTGGCTTGAAGGCTAGTCTCCAAGTGTCCAACGTCCTATCTTCGGCGGCTGAAGCACGCTTACTCCGGTGTGGCACGAGATGAAGGAGGGGTGTTAGTCGGGGTTTAGGATGGTGAAGGTTAGTTTGCTTCATTCTGTTATAGTTGTGCGCGCAGAGCGCACAGAATATTTGCAGAGGATCAAAGTGGGGCGGCCTGACACGGACTAGTTATCTCTAAGTAACTCTAATCACACAGGGGGGTGACTTTGACCATCAGCAGGAGACGCTATTCCGGAACGAAACCCTAAGGAGGCACGACGGTCTCAGCAAGGCGAAGAGCTCAATGCTGATTCAAATCCGGACGGGAGCAATAGGCTTACGGGACTTCTTGTTTACACGGGGAGTCCCGGAGGTTCCGACTCCTGCCTGCGAGTGTGGCGAGGGACGAGAGACTGCCGAACACCTGGTAGTGTGGTGTTTGGCCCCACCGTTGACTAGAAGATGGGAGAGAACTGGAATTCGGACACAACGGGACTTTTACTCTGTTCTACACGGCATCAATCCCACGACTGCACGGCTCGCGAGGAGAGTTCTCGACTGGCTGATGGACTCGGGGAAGCTGCCGATGTACAACTTAGCCAGGAGGCTCGAGCTGGAAGCGGCGGCCTGAAGCGCCCCCGTTCGGAGGCCAGGAGGCCTCCTCTCTTTGTATATGTAGGCTCACTAAAACGCATCGCTCCTTGATTGTTGGTATGGGTTTTTCACCCGGCCCGGGAGGGCACGGTTTTCCTGTACACTAAATAGCTGAGGGTCCGGCACGCCCTAGGGCATAGCGGAGTATGAATAATAATAATATAGCCCTAGTTGTTGTGCTCATTTCTAACCGAAAATGTTGTTCAACAATCATATATGGTCAAGAGCCTTTCAACCAAACACTAGTTCCAGTACAAGAACACGGGCAACCTTGATGCCAATGACGCCTATATAAATAAACCAACCCCCAGGGTGTCAGCGGCTCTTTGGGCCAACCTGTGCTGCCCACAAAACCAAACCATAACTTGGACGGGGCCAACTAATCCATCTATCAACATGTCAGAACTGAGTGGCACAGAGCTAATAGCATCTCTACGAGACTTCAACTCGCTACCTACTGAACTTCTACGGGAAATCTGCAGCTACTTTTGTCCTCATTGTTTACGACAAGGAGACCCATGGCCCTTCAACGACCGACGAGACCACGGGGGGGACCCGAACAAAGAAGTAGAGTTGGGCTCGCGGAAATTGTCTACAGACCTGGTCAAAATCAGCTGTGTTAACAAGGCTCTACGCTCGGCATCACACGAATATTTATATCATTGCCCGGCTGTCAAAGATTTCTCGCTTTGGTCCCTTATCAAAATCTTGCTAAGTGATCCCGATAGAGCGTTGAAAATCCGTGAGGTCCAGGTCCTGGAAGGAACTAAGACGGTGTTGGCGCGCTTTAGTTCAGATATATCCAATATGGCCCGTGAACTGCGCGAGCTCGTAGAACAGGCCACACTACCCAACACAATGCCTCTCCGCATCGAACAAGCAATATGCGGCCCACGTAGGGATATTGACCGGCCCTGGGCTGTCCAAGAGGCAGTCTTTATTGCGACACTTTTGCGGCTTCCCCTGAACCTGGAAAGTGTACAGTTTCGACTGTCAGCCGACTCGTGGTGGGATTCTTTTGATATTGAGAACACATCCACGTACTATGCCATCTGTCTCACTTGTACTATGACCCCACTAAATCCGCTAATATAACCCTAACCCTGTGACATCTGGAATTTTTGTCAATGCCGTGAAAGCCTTGCCAGGTGCCAATACACGGAAGCCCTGTAATTGCAGCCGCATTTCAGTGCGCATTCAGCCCCCAACCCCACCACATTCGCGGCATCCGGCCAAGCCACCGCATCACCACCACCAACCGCAACAAAACAACCAAGATGTCGGCTGAGTAGGCTGCAACTACCCTCATTCGAATCGCCTGCTAATTCTGCGTAGATTGACGTCGTCCGCGTCCGAATCGGACGCCTCTAGCACTTAGCGCGGCTTCTCAGATCCCGATTCCGATGTCGATGCTGTCAATGGCGATGCACTTCGGTTCTCGAACCCTCCACCGCACCACAAGCTCAATACTCACGGCTATGACTCGCTGGAGGGCCGACCCGCCGACTGTAGTTTAATTGTTTTTATTGCGAAAACGGGTTATTTGGCTTATTTGCGCTGGTGTGCGTGGATTCTGTTACGCCTGGGCTTGTATTGTTGATGTCCTGGCACCTGGCAGCATTGAAAGAAAGTTCCAGATGTCTCAGGGTTAGGGTTATATTAGCGGATTTAGTGGGGTCATAGTACAAGTGAGACAGATGGCATAGTACGTGGATGTGTTCTCTTGATGTTAACCGTACATTTGGGGAAATCATTCACAGTGTCTTGGCATTATCTGATGCGTCCTTCATATCATTGAGGAGACTCGCTTTCATCGGCCAGCTGTATCCCAAGGATGATACATTGATTGTGAGTGCCATCCCCATAATAGCCGCAGCGCCCAACCTAGAAGCAACCCATTTCTCCTTTGGCGGTAGTGCACTTCTCGAGGTTAAGCTACCGCCAATGAAGAACCTTACCGAGCTGAGTTTACACCACACGGCCATGACCAGCGACTCCCTGGCAAAACTCCTAGCCGTGGTTGGTCAAGGCTTCGCAAGTTCAGATTCGTTCCAGCATCGCAGAATTATCTCATCAGCTCCATAGAGCTTCTCAAACTACTGGCACGCTGGAAAGGGACGCTAAAGGAACTATCCTACAAGGCGAATTACCAGCACAAGATCTTCGATCCCCCTTACCCCAACCTTCTGCGGCGCTTTGAGACATTGGAGTCACTGTGCACCCAAATTGTCCATGGTCCCGACCCACGCCTTACACCCCAGGTGGTTTTAGATACCTTCTCTTCGATGCTTCCGTGCTCCATTAGCAACCTTTGGTTTCGTGGGGAAGGTAGAATACTGGCCCCTGCCATGCAAGGTTTGTTAAATGCGTTTCGCGCTGGTCACTACAGCCATTTGCGTACGACCGAGATTCGGGCCTGGAAGCGTCGCCCGTATCAAAGTTATCTACCGCTTCCCGACCCACGTTATTCTTCTGACGAGGATAGTTCTGGCCAAGATACTTCTGATGAAGACACTTCCGATGAGGACACTTCCGATGATGAAGATACTTCCGATGATGGGAATACTCCTGATGCGGGTGGCCTAAGTCAATCAGAACTACGGGCCATCGCCGCTTCATTCAAAGCGTTGGGGGTAGACTTTGTTCTTGAGTTTATAATGTAGTTAGTTAGTGTAGTTTTAAGTTGCAAAACGGGTAACTACTACGATGGGAAAGTACATGTAGCTGGGCAGCATCGCTTATTAGGTGTACTGTTCGGACATAGTTAGGTATATATTGAACAACACAAGATAAGGTACCCTACCCACCTACCTAGGTAAGGTACCTCACTTAAGGTACCTGTCAAACCTTACCCGGTGAACATACCATACCCACATGGGGTCGCTTCCAGCTTAGGACATCTATACCGGTATCCTTGCGCCAAGGAGGGGCGACTTTCCCTCTAAGTGTGCCTTAGTTTAGCCAGCTGGGTGGTCCAATTGATTGTTTTCCCTCTTTTCGCGCTTGCCCTCTCTTCCCCATAATTATTATGTTATTATTCATACTCCGCTATGCCCTAGGGCGTGCCGGACCCTCGGTTATTTAATGTACAGGAAAACCGTGCCCTTCCGGGCCGGGTGAAAAACCCATACCAACAATCAAAGAGCGATGCTTTTTAGTGAGCCTACATACACAAATAGAGGAGGCCTCCTGGCCTCCGATCGGGGGTTCTTCAGGCCGCTGCTTCCAGCTCGGCCTCCTGGCTAAGTTGTACATCGGCAGCTTCCCCGAGTCCATCAGCCAGTCGAGAACTCTCCTCGCGAGCCGTAGCAGTCGTGGGATTGATGCCCGTGTTAGTACAGAGTAAAAGTCCCGTCGTGTCCGAATTCCGGTTCTCTCCCATCTTCTAGTCAACGGTGGGGCCAAACACCACACTACCAGGTGTTCGGACTTCCCCATAATTGTATCCATTTCCCTTTCTATTATTGTAATGCAGTATTCAAGTCTTTGGTGGTTAACCTTTTCAATATGAAGTGACACGGTACTTCAGAAATAGGGGTTACCAATTATATTACGAAACACTGGGCCGGTGAGCATACTAGTTGACATGAGCATTGATGCATAGGTAGGGTGTATTTACGATTCTGAACCATCGGGTCTACCATACCACACCCAATCTGCCATGTCTGCCTACAACCTCGCTGTGGTACCACATTGTAGTAATGACGACTCCGATTGGTAATTTCGTAAAGCAACATCTCGATATCTGGTTAGGTACTTGGAGTCCCAGTGAGTGCCTGCTTATGAGGGAGTTGCGGCATATTTCACATTTCACTCAAAGCACAGCATGTATCAACCACATGCACCACAAGACAGCCCTCATGTTCACTTTGGATTAAGGATTATATTCAGTAAATCACCCACTTATCCTATCGCTCTTAGCAGAACAGCACCAGCACTTATCGGTCATTATCATTTGGCCTACATAAACTATGTACTCGCCGTCCCGAATCCCCGATCAGTTCCTGCGCTTAACGACACGAAACAACAGCGTCAGTGTTGTCAACCAATCCATCGCCATGCCCGAATCTAGGGTTCCTAGAACAAGCCTCCTGTCGCTACCCACGGAACTCCTACGGAAGATATGCAGCTACTTTTGTGGTCATTGCCTTCGCAAAGGAGACCCCTGGCCATGGCACACTAGACAGGACCATCTCGCCGATCCCGAGCCGCTACCAGATCTGGGCTTTCGCAGCGGCTTCTTGGTGCTCCTCAGCTTAACTCGAGTTAACAAGGCCCTCTACGCCGTAGCAAGAGAGTATTTGTCTCACTGCCCGTCCCTACAGAAGAAGTCAATGCTTTGGCACCTTGTCGACACACCGGTAGGGCCGATAGATCCGCGAACCCGGGAGGTCGACGTCACGTATCCCAGAGGTCGCTACGGGAGATGCCCCTGGAACCACCAACACCCGGCCTTGCTTAAAGGTGTGTTGCGTGACGTCCTCAGCAATGATGAGGGACTAACGTGGGGTGTCCGCTACGCCATTGATGAGTATATAGAGAACGGCAAGCATTATTTTATAAATGAGGGCCCTTACTGTCAGCCTGTCGAGCACGCAGCATTGATTATGATGCTCCTGCAGCTTCTGCCAAATTTGGAAACTGCCCATTTCACACTACCAAGTGGCATAGATATACAGGACGGATGTGCGTTTATCTTTATGGCGATCCTTCGCGCCATCTTCAAGTTATCCGGCCAGTCCAGGTTCCCAATGTCAGTAAAGAGGCTAGCATTCAGCGTCTGTGAAGGAGGTTATAACGCCTCGCTCGACTTAGCCTTTCCCATCATGGCGGCGGCGCCTAACCTCGAAGGCATTCACTTCTACGATTGCGGTTCCGTTGAAAGCAAACCTCCGCACCTCGAAAATCTGACCGAGATAAGCTTTGTTAATTCCTCTCTATCCTGCGATTCACTACGTCTGTTTATGGCCGCGGTTGGGCCAAGACTTCGCAAGTTCAGAATCCGACGAACAGGGCACTGGGAAAATGGAGGAGATCACTATCGGGGGTATAGTGAGGCGGTTAACATCAAATTCGATGAGCTTCTCCAGGAACTAATGCCCTGGAAGGACACACTCAAACGCCTGAGCTACACGACGCCACAGAGAGAGCCATGGTTCCCCCACTCTTACCGCCGCCCAGGAATCCTCCGGGACATGATCGCGTTGGAAAGTTTATGCGCCGAGGCATCCTTCTTCGCCGGCAACAAATGGCTCACGCCTAGAGAAGGTTCAGATCTGCTTACCTCAACCCTCCCTTCTTCAATTTGCGAGCTTAAGCTTCGTGGGTACAACTACTTACTCGGGTCTGCCTTGTGGGGGTTATCCAGTGCCGTTAAGGCTGGACAGTACGAAAGTTTGCGCACCATCGAGATCAACGTCTATGACGCCAACGACTTTGACTTCATCGATGAGGATAGCTCCGATGCCGGTAACTCCGATGACGATAGCTCCGATGGCGTTAGTTCCGATGACGAAGACGAAGGTTCGAGGGGTGGAACCTTGGAAAATGAAGCTTCAGAAGATGAAGTTTTGGAAGACGAGCTCTCGGAAGAGGGGTTTTGGGAAGATGAGGAGGCGGAGGGCATTCACCCCCCTATATCGGAACTGGAGGCCATCCGAGCCTCATTTCAGGTTGTGGGAGTGGACCTCATTATTCACGCCTGTCTCCCGGACACTTTGCCCTCCACCAAGAAGGCAGACCCGCCTCCTTTGTAAATACAGATAGAAGCCGTCAGTCTAAACTCGGCGGTCACTTCAAGCCCAAAAGGAGTGATTCTTTCACATGTTACTAATTCGACATCCAGTAAAAGTTCCGCCCCAGCTAAGCACCCCACACCAGTAGCAGTGCTTTATTTTGTTTCTAGACATGGCTATTTGCGACCCTGCATTTTTGAACCGAATTATAATGTATAATCTACTCAACAGTATCCTACCTGCTTCAAGAAATTGAGCGCCATGAGGTGTACCTACGGTTAATTGGCTACTGCAGGGCAATCACCATGCCGGCGGACGACTTTGACCATCAGCAGGAGACGTTATTCCGGAACGAAACTCTAAGGAAGGACGACGGTCTCAGCAAGCCAAAGAGCTCCATGCTGACTCTTATCCGGACGGGAGCAATACGCTTACGGGACGTCTTATATACAAAAAAGAGTCCCGGAGGTTCTGACTCCTGCCTGCGAGTGTGGCGAGGGACGAGAGACTGCCGAACACCTGGTCATGTGGTGTTTGGCCCCACCGTTGACTCGAAGATGGGAGAGAACTGGAATTCGGACACGACGGGACTTTTACTCTGTTCTACACGTCATCAATCCCAATCCCACGACTGCACGGCTCGCGAGGAGAGTCCTCGACTGGCTGATGGACTCGGGGAAGCTGCCGATGTACAACTTAGCCAGGAGGCTCGAGCTGGAAGCGGCGGCCTGAAGCGCCCCCGTTCGGGAGGCCAGGAGGCCTCCTCTCTTTGTATACGCAGACTCACCGGAACGCATCGTTCCTTGACTGTGGGTATGGGTTTTTCACCCGGCCCGGGAGGGCACGGTTTTCCTGTACACTAAATAGCTGAGGGTCCGGCACGCCCTAGGGCATAGCGGAGTATGAATAATAATAATATAATAATCACACAGGGGATTCTTGCATCAATGGGTATATAGAGGAGAAGCAAATCGAGACTTCAATACCTTATATGTAGGTACTTACCTTAGGTAGTTAAAGTGGTTGCCGGCGTTACCAAGTCTGGAGGATGCCGGGAGTTTTGGGAAATAAAGTCTAAGGTACCCTGAGCAGCGCTGCTCTCAGATCAGTCAAATCAGTCAGACCCTCCTGATCTGAACTGATTGATTCCCTCGGCCCTTGAACTGGACTGAACTGGACTGAACTGACATACAAATGCAGCTATTCGTAACCCTGCTGCCCCTTAATCGATCCCCAACCCGGCCTGCTGCCCATCATGACTCCTCCGATGACGATATCGCCGTTCCTAAGCCAGTTCTTCAGCATCTGAAGCATCTCGATAGTCTCCCACTTCATTGCATGCCTCTGGGAGCTCAGAGTAAGCTTGGCAATGCTAAACGACCTCTCGCAGTCAGCTGCCATGGCCGGAATAGCGAGAACGTCAAGGGCCATCTGAGACAGCTTTGGGAACTGAGCCTTATTACTGATCCACCATTCAACCGGATCAACGTTGCCCCCAACCTTCATGTTCTAGTACCGGTCAATCTCGTCCTCGTTACCCTCTTCATCGGAACTGCTTCACGATGGTGCGCAGTCAAGATCGAGGGTGGGGGAGGAAGAATGCTGCAACGTTGTTGGCATCGTCTGTAGCAGAGGCTGCGTAGCTGCTCTGTGCAGCAGTCGACATTGCGAGGTTGGGTTAACTTTAACTGGATCAGCCTCAGTGGTCGTCACACACACGCACACACACGCGCGTACAAACAGTGGACAGAGCGACGCGCGGAATCCGCAATTTAGCGCGAGACAGGGGGTGTTCTGGTCCGGAAAAAGTAATACCGGACTTATTCATCCACCTCTCCACCATTAACACTCAAAATGAAGGGATTCGGCGCCTTGACCAAGGGCCAAAAGTAAGGTAAAGATAAAAATCAGATTATCAGATTTGTAAGGTGCCTCATCTGATCCGACTGATTTGAAGAAATGGCCGATCTGAATCGACTGGACTGCTCTGGATTGATAGATCTGATCTACAATCTGATCTTTGAGCAGCGCTGGCCCTGAGTGTTGAAATAAATGATCAAACATGGATGGATGGTGTCAATAATTGGTGAGTTTACTTACGTTCTCGTTTGGCTCAATTGAGAGTGTCCATAACTCTGAGTTCTGGTGTGTTCGGTAACCCTGGCCAACGAGTTGATGTCTTGACGTCAATCACTAAAACGGGACACGAGCCACTCTCATGTTCGTCAAATCAGAAAGGCGATGGCCAGTCTTGGACGGCCAGCATTCGGCCGAGGCTGACTGCATGTTGCCGGCCGCTCCCGCCTTCAAGTCACCTCTGGCAAGTCCATTCTGCAAAAGCAAGGTGCGGCGGCGGCGCATCCTCCCGAGGACCCCTGCCAGGCGTCCAGGCTGGCGGTCCTGGCTCTCGGCATCTATTCATGCAAGCAAGCTGATGCAACCTTGATTGCAGACTTTTGCTGCTTGCAGTTGCTCAGGCGTTCGATGAAGGCTGGCAAAGAGCTGCTGGATGAAGTCTGAGGCGCTTGGGCCATTGATGAGAGTCGGGCTGTTGCTAAAATCACTCGCTCGCTCTTCGTGTTCACCCGCGGGTTGCAGGTGCCAGGTGCCAGGTCGGGTGTGCATGCTCGCAATGCAATGGCTCGGCTTAGCTAAGCTTGAAATGGTTAACTAACTATGGGCTGGGCAGGCTCGCAGGGCAGTTTTTCCTTTCCCCACCTCCCAGAGGCGGAGTCATTGGATTGGCGGCGGCCTCGCTTGACGGGAGGTCTGCCACTTGCAGAAAGCCAGCCAGGGCAGCAGCCGGGTTTCTGCCTGAACAAGAAAACCGTGAGAGGTTTGTCCTTTCCTCGACCCCTCTCGTGGAGCATTTCGACCGATTTTCGTTGCCACCACCGGAGAATGAGGAAGAGAGAATTTGGGAGCTGTTTGATGGTTTCAGGCACTCCCGAAGTCGTTCCTTCCACTGCCCGACTGCCCTGACCCGCCGGCCCGCTCCTTCTCCCTCGTGGCAGTGGACTCCGGTCGGGCGCTTTGGACGCGCTGCCCGCGCTGCCCTGCTTGCCTACCCCACTCCCGCGTCTGGCCTTTGCCGGTGCCTCTGCGATACCGAGAGCAGCGCAGAACGGCCCGCCCCGGGCCCTGCATCGTGAAATGGGTAAGGTCGCTGACAAACTGCGTGCATGAGCACGCGCTTTGGACATTACTCGTTATCCTTTAGTTATTTCATTTTATTTCATTTTATTTCCTTTTATTCCTTTTATTTTATTATATTCGTTATATCCCTTTATCCCGGCCCTTGCTGTCGTTGAAACCGCACGGGCGCCCGCGCTGACTCGTCTTCAGATGCAAATCTGCACCGTGCACCCTCCGCGGGGATTGATGATGAAGATGTTGCATCTGCGAACCATTATCCCGCCAATGTTGTGGACCAGTTCAATCCCGTTTCTTACCTTGGGGGCTCGAGCATTCCAGGCGACGATATGGCCACCACTCAATATCTCGGAGACCCGATGGATCTTGACTTCGACCTGGACGTCGTTCTTTGGGCAGGCGATTTGGGTCCCGCCATCAATCACCATGAATCGGATATGAGCATCGAGTATGGGCCCCCGATGACGAGCATGCCCGCGGACTTCCTCTTTGCCGAAGACGAAGGCGTTTTACCGGCTACGTCAAGCTACGAAGCCCAGCTTGGTCAGCCCATGTCGGCATCTTATCCCATCGACATACCGCAACCGCCGCCTGCGCCGTCTCCCACCCGCACTGTCTTCTCAGCGTCGCGCTCCGATGCTGGTTCCGATGATGCGAAGTCATTGGAGGATGGTTCTCCGAACGGTTTGGCCCGCCAGCGGTTGCGCCGCCAATTGTCGCTTTTATCCAAGGGATGGGCTGGAGACGAGATCAGGTTCAAGAACTGCGACTCCTCCAAGGCTGTCGTGTTGCACACCCTGGCCATGGAACTAGGACTGGGCTATAACCACGATGTGAGAAGCCGCGAGGTCTTGATGTCGCGCCTCGAGCCGGCCCAGGTCCCTTCTAAACCTCGGCCCTCTCCTCGTCGTTTGTCCTCTTCGTTTTCCCGCTCCTCCACCGAACTTGACTCCGCCCTTTGCTTGCCGGGCTTGCCAGTGGTACTTGAGCATCAAACATTCGATCTTGCCGCCCACTTTAGCCAGGAGCCCGATTCCGAGTCCACAGAACCGGTCGAATCGGGGAATGACGATCAACCACTTGTGCGCCGGCCAAGCCGCAGCGAGCGCATCAGCGATTCGATTAGCAAACACGTTTCAACCCTCAAGACCTCCATGTCTAAGGGTGGCAGACGAGGACCCCTTTCTGAGGACGGCCGTCGCGGCATGCGGGCTCTCGAAGCGGTTGGCGGCGCCTGCTGGAGGTGTCGGGTTCTTCGTCGCCGGGTAGGTTTCCTCGTTTAGGATCCGATACTCATAATGAACCGCAAGCTGACATGTACTCCAGTGTGATCCGGGGAGCCCCTGTCGATGTTGTCTACAAAGTGTACCGATGCCCCATCTCGGCGAAGACGCACCTCTCTGGCCCCTGATCGGTTGTCGGCGCGGGCCTCTTCGCGACTCGGCACCGCCTCAACTACTTTGTCCTGAGCCAAAGCTGCTCCAACCCCCTGGCGTGTCTGCCCTGACGCGGCGGTGCCGCTCTGTGGACGTCGCCGAACGATGTCTCCTCTCAGCGGAGAGTCAAAGATTGGCCGACATGAAGGCTGTTCTGGAAGGCGCTGGCTACAAACTGTCCATCACGGACCCAGCTTTCCAAGCATCGTTTACTTCCTTCATCGAGGCTGGACGGTACCGCGACCGGGGTTCTCTGCAAATGAGCTATTCAATCGGAGGCAGCTCGGTGACATACACCGAGCTAATTCCCATCATCGCTTGGGAACTTGCCGAGAACCAGCCCTTACTACCTGCCCTTGAGATTAAATCCTGGGAAAGCTTTATGAATATGCTGGAAACAGCCTGCCTCTTCGAGGCCGAGGTTGGCAAGGTATGAGGGCGTTGCGCAATCAAGGGTTTACATTACTGACAGTTCCCCAGACATCGCTGGTGATCCTTTCCCTGGTGTGTCTTAGACACTGCCTTGAGGCACTGCGGTTACATTCAGCAAACTTGCTCTCGCCCAGGGCCCACGAGGACTGCGGTGGCGGTCAATGTCAAGTGGAGTGCATTCAGAACCTCCGGTCTCGAGTTGCAGCTTACGTCGACGAATTATCGTCGGTCATTTTCAACAAGGAAAATATGAGAGATCGAAGATGGTGGCTGTCGACCTTCTACAGCCTCTACATCCAAAGCTATGTGCGGCACGCATTGATCACCATTGAGAAGCAGCTTCGTTTCGGATCGTTAGACGACGTCCCCGCCGAAGACCTTACAACTACCCAATACCTACATCTACCAGCCGTGCTGTTCACGGCCGCATCGGCCAAATACGACCCTCTATTTGACGGCAGGTTGCAATATGCCTTGACAGATAATTCCGTCATCCCAGAGACCTCGATCCCTGAGCTCCATCATTCCTCTGCCCGCGTTGCTTGCGAGGTGGACAAATGGCCCGAGGCCGGTATCAGAACCCCTTACCAGTTTCTTCGGCGGCTGCTCCAGATTGGCTCGCTGGACTTCTCTGACTCGACGCTTGACGTATCGGGTCTGGGCGAGTCGGGGTCTCCCTTAGCCTTAGTCTCGCCGTCCTCGGCCCGGGGCAAGGTGGGATCACCCGTCTCCCCAACTCCTAGTGCTTTTGAGGAGGGCTCGCCTTACCCCCGTGCTCCCTTCGGCCAGAGCAAGAGAAGCTCGTGGGGCAGTTCCTACTCGGCACAGGCCTCGACCAAGTTCTCAAACATGAGCTCGGACAGCTTGGCGCGGACCATGTCGACGGACATGACCAGCCTGTACGAATCGTCCATCTTTACCGGTGTCTCCTTCTCGGGCAGCGTGGCCGACTTGAACGGGGACATGCGCCTAGACCTCGCGACCATCAACCCGACGGCGCTGTTCTCAGCCAACCACAACCACTCCTCGCACTCACTCGATCAGGAAATGGCGGAGAGTGGTGCCCGGCACGACGGGCCGGCCGTCAGCTCGGGCCTGGGCTCCGAGCCCACCTTTGTCTGCAGCTGCTGCCCGCGGGCGCCGCGACATTTCCACACTAGCGAAGAGCTCACGTAAGTTCCCCCGCATTCTTGGGCATGACCGCAGCCCCGTTGACTCCCTTGTGTTCAGTAACCACGAAGCCGAGAAGCCGCACCCCTGCCCACAATGTAAGAAGCGCTTCAAATCGCCCACCGAAGCCGACCGCCATCTCAACGCGCTCCACCTCAAGGCCGACTCCTGGTCGTGCGAGGCGCTCAAAGACCCGCTGCTGGCTTACCGCACCCAGAACTACGGAGGCGAGACCAGCAACATCTGTGTGCTATGCAACGGCGAGATCAAGCATAAAGACGGCGTGCCGGATCACGAGGAATTGGTGAAGCATGTCGAAACGGTGCATCGCTTTGGCGTGTGCGACCGCAAGAAGAAGTTTTATCGCGTGGATAACTTTCGGCAACACCTCAAGGGCACACATGTCGCTCTGTGCAAAGGGGCGTGGCTGAAGGAGTTGGAGAGGGCTTGTCAGAGTTCGGCAACTCCCCGGGGAAGTGACTTTGCAACGGGGGTCAACAATACGGCAGGAACGTAATGTTTATTTCCGGTTTGGATTTCCTTGGTGTTTTGGATACGGATAGACGTTTGCCGATGATGCAGACATGAACCACCCACCTACCTTAATGAGAGGGACAGACCGTCCTGGTAATGATACCACGCATTCCCCGCCCTATTCTAACGTCCACTACAATGCTACTATGGTGAATGGGACGATGCCAGCTAGCCAGGGTGGGTGTAGCCTGGGCCCGAGGGCGTCAGACCTTTCTTTCGGCGTTCCGCCAAACTGCCTGTTGTAGTTAGATACCGTGCGACCAAATGTTGGCATCGACTGTGGCCCACCCATTTCAACTGACAAAGTGTCGCGCTAGCCATTTAGAGATATTGACCCACATTTTCCACAAGAACGCCTTTGAAAGAGGTCTGAGTCGTCGATCGGAAAAAGTGCTGAGCAACGATCGCGTCCCCATACAAATTGACCCGGGCGACTTCAGTCACTCCTCAAATTCTCAACACCACAACACCGTATCGTGATTGTAAATAGTGTCTGAAGATTGCCTCAAGCAGGGCTTTCTAATGGTATAATTTTGGTATAGCTATTTTGTGTATAATATAAAAAGGTTGCCGGCGAGGTTGCGCGACGAGCGACGATCGCGTCTTCATCGGATGGTGACCCCCTTCAATTTTCCACTTCTACGCGTCGCAACAACACCAAATTCGGCCACAAGATCCGTTGCATCTTACACTTCCTCAGACGACTATTTTCAATCCACCAATTCCACCAAAAGTCAGCTCCATCTCCCACATATTCGAGATCATCATCATGGACCTCGATGACGATATCGCGCGCGTAACAGCGACGTTGCGCACGCTCGCTGGTGGTTACAAACCTCGTCCCGGCCAAATTGAGGCTGTGGAAAATCTCTCGATCTACCAACAAGATACTGTTCTTGTCGCGGCGACCGGGTACGGCAAAAGCGCCGTATTGTTCGCATTCTCTGCCCTCAAACCGAACAAGATCACCGTACAGATCGTGCCGTTGGTGACACTTGGAGAGAGCAAAAGGGATGACATTGCGGCGAAGTTACCCGAGTCAACACCAGTCTGGATCGATGTTGATACCCGTCTTAAGGTACGTCCATATTACCCCTGAACCCCTGAGCAATTACTGACTCGCTTGTTTTGACAGAATAAGCACATCTGGAGCGAGGTTGAGCAAGGGAAATATAGCCACGTGCTCCTCAGTCCCGAACAAGCGTTGAACCCGAAGTTCAAGGCGATATTAAGAGACCCAACGTTCCATACGAAGATCGGCCTTTTCGCGATAGACGAGCTCCATTGTGTCAGCGAATGGAGGCATTTTCGGGAGGATTACACCTATCTCTACACTCTACGGTCACTTTTGCCGGCTTTAGTACCGTGGTTTGGGTGTACAGCGACCCTCGATAAGGACAACCAAGTCTACATCTTCAAGCACGCCGGCTTCAACCCCAACCCCAAGATCATCCGCACGTCCATCGACAGACCCGAGATATCCATCGTTGTACAGCCGCTGCTCCGAGCCTGTATACATGACTACCGCCGGCTACATTTCCTGCTTGAGAGATGCAGTGTTACTACCATACGGGATGTTGACAAGACCATCATTTATCTTGACAACAAGTCGGCATGCCTACGTGTTCGATATACGCTCCTGCAGTACCTCCGCCGCAAATGCGGATTTGACAAGAGCTTATAACCCTAAATGCGGATTTGACAAGAGCTTCGCCCGCAAAGTGGTCCGACGATTTGATGCAGATGTCCGGCCAGCCGACAAGGAGATCATCTTCAAAGACTTCGCCAACGTCGATACTGACTGCCGAATCATTGTGGCAACGGTATCACTCGGCATGGGAATGGACATCCCCGACGTCAAACGGGTTGTTCAATTCGGTATCCCCCCTGGCACCAGCATCGCAGATATCTGGCAACGCATTAGAAGAGCGGTACGCAAGCAACCTGTCGATAGCCGGGTACAAGGCACTGCTTACCTGTTCATCCCATACTAGGTGTTTGACCACCTTGGGACCGTCGAGAAGCAGCAGAAACCAGCCCCAAGGAAAAGGTCCGATCCAAAGAGGCGTCAACAACCCTTCGTCCCTGTTAGAAGTCGCCTCCAACTGATGACCCTAGTGGATAGAGATGAAGATACTGCGTCCGATACTGCTAGTCAGGTTAGCGCCAACACTCAACGGACTGTTCAGTCAGAGTCCCAAGCACAACCTGTCGTTGACGAGCTCACTTTGGAAGGCTATGTCGAATCCCAGAACTTATTTGACTTTGGAAAGCAGGTCAAATGGACTAAACAGGACATCTCCCAGCGAGAGAAGCTCGACCCTGTCTTCATGGCATTCATGAATGCCTCTTGTTTCCGCAGATACGCATTGGAGTACCTCCAGGAGGACGTCAACGATCCTGAGCTCGAGTACCGCCGCCCTCTTGATCGAAGTCTCTGTTGCAACGCGTGCAACCATGAGTTAGGCAAACTAAGTCCCTTGATGCCGCGTGAGAAGCGGGGGGAAAAGCCATCAGCAGGATCCCTCGCCAGCCACGCACTTACCTACCTCTCCTCCTGGTGCAAGACGAATGCCCAGTCCCTGGTCCCTGATAAGTATCGCCGCTTCGACATCATACCAGAGATGTTCATGGACAGCAAATTACAGTACGCTGTAGCACGTACATTCTCTGACGTGCGTGGGAAGACCAAGGACTTGTCGTTTAAGGATATATATGGGTTGGTACAGAAGGTGCCAGAGTTGAAGGAATGGGAGCACTTTGAGGCAAAGGGAGCTCAGTTGGTAACCTTCTGTATTACCTCCTTGGCCAAGATCAAGGAAGACTGGGAGGCTGAGAGAGTAAAGAAGGCGAAAGAGAGAGAGGCGAAGACGCAGCGGGCAGGCAGCGTATCAGCTGCTGATCCGGCTCGTAAGCGGACTGCAGAGGCAATGGAACACTTTCCTGCAATCAAGACGGCTTTGTAGATAGTCGACGCCTTTTTTGTAATTGTTGTGTAATTTACCCCTGAGTTCTGAGCCCCTGAGTCTTTACCCCTATTTTACCCTGGAAATCGTACAACTGCAGATTAACTACATATAGTTACCTATAGTTATACAGAAACTACCAAACAGCTAATCAACGCTTAAAACCGCCAAACAACGCTCAAATCGCGGTTCCTAAGCTCTCCAAGCCGTCCGCCCAGAAGTCATCCTCCTCAACGTCATACTGCCGCTCGCCCTCGTTAGTCTAGTCAATCTCACCCTCGTCGGCACCGGATCCAACCCCGGGTAAACTACGCTGATCTGCTGCATCCTTGGGCTCGGGGACAACGTCGTTGAAGTCGTCCAGCTTCTTCAGAAGGTTCTGTTGACCTTTGTCCCAAATATCAGGGGCATCCCAAGCATCACGATGACTCCCATGTGCTCGGCGGGGCATCCCATCCTTATACAGCTTACAGGCGTAAGAGATGATATCTGTAGCAGGGTCACCGGGTGCATGTGTGCCTTTCTGGTGTCTGCCGAAAACACTCTCAACCGATCTGCGGATGGTTGCTAAATAGGGCCCATTGACTGCTAATCGACTGAAGGTTGCCTCGATGTCGTGGGTCGAATTCCGATTAGCCTTGATATCGTGAGCGTAACCGGCGTGGATATGCTCCTGCATGAGGTCGATGGCCTTATATGAGCTGCCAGCAGTCGTGCAGCGAACCAAACCACCTTTGAGAATCGCATTGCGAGTAACCTCATCCTTGCTGACATTTGGGTGAAGAAGCCAAGCAAAGTAGAGCATCTCGGGACCGTAGTTCGTGCCACGGCCACCCCAAAAAAGGATCGGGAGCATCGGTATAATGTCCTTGATCAGGCCGTAGTCCCCCTGACGAACTGCCTCGTGTAAGATCAAGAGGATCTCAATACATTGGAGCAGCCGACAATGGCTCCGGAATCCGACGTCGATCTCGGAGTCGTCGTTGGAATCGTCGCAGTCGTCGTATCTGCCAGTCCATCCTGCGTATGTAAAGCAAGTATTCCAAATATCCCTGAGGATCTGCCTAAGTCGCCCGCGGTCGAGCTCCTGTAAGACACGTTTGACCTTGTCGACAGTAAGGTCATCACTGTCGACAAGCTCAAGCACCTTATCCTCTTCAACAAGGATATCAATGACCATTGCGACGATTCTTGCGGTATAGCCATGCATCAGGAGGGGCAGGACTTGATGGTATTTGATGTTCTGTTTGTTGATATGCCGGCTGCGCTAGAAGAATTGAACGTCGGCAGAAATAGTGGCACTCGAACGGGTTTTGCCACCAGTATCCCAGAAGACTCTGAAGGGGAGGTGGATATAATTGACTTCAATGTGGAAAAGCGCTGGCACTGGCAACATCCATCTCTTCCTCTCCCACAGTTGGCTCGCCTCGAGTTGCTGTTGTTGTATCCGCCGAATGAAGGATGTGGTCTTGTTATCGCCGTATACAAGGGTCAGTCGCTCGTCGTAATCGTCGAATTCGAGGCGGCGAAGCCAGAGCTCTTCGTGTAGCCGATAGACCCGCGCAAGCGTGCCTTCGTCCTCGAAAATAGCCCCGATCTGGAGACATGGTGACTCTTTGTAGCCGGCTTTCTTGACAGCAGGCATTGAAGGAGGGGTCTCGTCTGCCTGGCCGAAGATCTTCACGAACGCATATGCCATCAACCACTTGGAGGCTCTGTCAAAAGACTTGCGTCGTGGAAGGAGATAATCGATGACCATCTTACGGGTAAACCGCTGCGTCAGGTCCATGGAGGACTGCTTCAGAGGACCGCTGAGTTCGGGGTTGGCCACGAGGGAAGCGGTGGTGAGGTTGATTATCTGGGCTTGTTTACCGCCAACAAGGTCTCGAACGTTGCTCTTGAAGTTGAAGTTGTCGTATACAACAACACCGTTTGGATCGTGGGCCGCCTTCTTGAGGTTCTTCTTAGCTTGTTCTGCCATATCGCTGAGCGGTTCGTTGAGCACAGTATACGACGAGATCAGACCCATCATTGAGAAGGTGTCGATAACACGGCGAGGTGTACCGTTGGCCAGCATATAGAGACCCAAGACTTTCCTCAAAAACGTGCTGTTGTTGCGTGCAAACCCTCTCATCAAGAGGGACGACAGGAGGCAGATCTTGCTGCTATAGTTGTCGTCGACATCGACCGTTGGGAGGTTCTTGTGCGGGACGGACTGCCATATCTATCAGTTATTGCTTATACTCGAATCCTTCAAATATAATTACCTGGTTCTGTAGCAGTTGGGAGAAGAGGGCGACCATCTTTGGGGCTTTGGCTTGGAAAGTAGGCCAAGTTTGCTCGAGTGTATCCTCCAACTAAGAGGTTTTACACATCTCAGCAATGGTAACAGCATCATCACTCTGACCGGCGTAAGGCTTGAAGTCACCGAATGGCTCCGTCTTTAGGAGGGACTTCATCTCTTTGCGGATTGTAGAGGAGCGAAATACATCCGTAGCATCAGCCCGAGAATCAGCGATGTAAATACCCGCAGATTCCAAGGCATCTTTGACACGAGGGTCCTTCAGAGCCGTGCCTAGTAGTGTCGCGCCCTTTCTGCTCTGTGCCCATTTGATGATGAATGTCTCCAAGTTATAAGCCATCGGTGACTCTTGGCCTCTGCTAACTGCCCTCCTGCTCCTGTTACGGAGTCTCTGCCACTCCGTAGATGTGCTCTGGACGATATCATCGGGGAGTTCTTCATCGGGTACGGTCTCGGAGGACGCTTGATCGTCGCTGCTGTCGTGGTCGCTGCCGTCGTCGTTGCCGTGGTTGGAGCTTATTGTGAGCTCAGACAACGAGGAGGAGGCTTGTTCGAGCTGCGCAGGTAGAGGGAGACGTGGCGCGCGCGGCGTGTCTTGATCGGCCGGGTCACTGGAAGACGACATATTGTTCTGTTCTTAACAAATTAGTACCAGATTGTAGCGCAAATCGACGCGATTCGAATAGCACAAACCGCACTTGCATTGACGTTGTTTTGGTGGAGAGACTGTTGCAGGCGCAAAAAACAAGTGGAATTGACTTTTACTCTGTTCTACACGGCATCAATCCCAATCCCACGACTGCACGGCTCGCGAGGAGAGTCCTCGACTGGCTGATGGACTCGGGGAAGCTGCCGATGTACAACTTAGCCAGGAGGCTCGAGCTGGAAGCGGCGGCCTGAAGCGCCCCCGTTCGGAGGCCAGGAGGCCTCCTCTCTTTGTGTGCGCAGACTCACCAGAACGCATCGTTCCTTGATTGTGGGTATGGGTTTTTCACCCGGCCCGGGAGGGCACGGTTTTCCTGTACACTAAATAGCTGAGGGTCTGGCACGCCCTAGGGCATAGCGGAGTATGAATAATAATAATAATTTACGCGTGACTGCGAACTCCTTGTCGACGGCAATGAAGCTGCCCGGGTGCGGCCGCGACCGCGGCTCCGGGTCGACCTTTGTGATGACCTTTGCGAGCCTTCAACCTCAAATTGTGATAGATCGCGACGCGCGCTTGGCTTCGCACGGCGCTCACGGCGATGTGACTGCGAAGTCTGCTTTGGCTGCCGCCGCCGCTGCTGCTGCGTTGACTGCGCCGTCTCCTGCTGCTGGGATTCATCTTGGCCGTCGTCAGCCCTCAGGGATGATGGCACCGTCATCTTCTCGTTATTTGGCAGGCGAGGCCGGCCACGGAGGCTTTGGACGACGTCAGGATCGCGGAGTCGGAGTAAGGGCTCGTCAATGTCCTGGGATCAAGCAGTTAGTAGCTTTTCCATATAAAATCATAGGAAATCGTACCAGAGGCTTGGCCAGCCACCATCGCGGGTGGACATCTTCCTTGCTGAGGGCCTCGCCGTCGTCCAGCTTCTTGAAGATCATGTGCCTGCAAGGAAGCGCGTACTGCTGTATGAAGCTGCCGGTGCAAGGCCTCAGCGGCTCAGGCATCAGGCCACGGCTTGAGGGCATCGCGGGCACGGCTAGCCGGTGCTGTTGGGCAAGGAGATCGACGGCGACGTAGGAGACTGTCATGGGGATGTTCCCTAGCCACCCTTGTTGCTGGATGAAGCGTTGGCGCTGCCGCATTTGCATCGCCGCGGCCTTCTCGTTGTAGTCTCTCTCCTTCTTCTGCAGCATCAGGGAGATCGCGTTGTGGAGGTGGAGGTCGCTTGTGCCCGTGATGAGGAAGGACTTCACGGGCCCGTAGCGTAGCGAAGGGCCGCGCGACTGACGAACGAAGCGACGCCAGCAATTTTATATAACCGCAGCGTCGACCAAGATACGCCAAGGGCTATTTCTAGCCGTCAACACCCTCGACTGGGGTACCATCAGTATCATTGCGTGGCTGCTACGCGAGATCATAATACCAGCTGGCAAAGAGGCCAATTGGATTGTTCCTGCGTGGCGGTTCTCATGAAGGTGTTTGCGAAGGGGTACAACATGCCGGCCTTCGGCATCAAAGGTTGTAAGATGGACCTCAAGTTGGTTGGCACGCTACCGTTACCAAGGCCGCGCTTCTCGTGTCGCGCATGGTGCTTGCCGACCTCGTGGCCCCTTTGGCCCAGGCGGTCGGCGCGGCTTTTGGCACCCATGATGCCGGCGACTGACGAATTGAGCGTAGTAGGAGGGAAAGAAATTAGAAAATATGGCGGACGAGTAAAGTGGACGCCGGTCAGGAACACATGTCGAACAAGGTGCTAGGACCCAATTCCAAGCTTCTCTTGAGGCAGTGATGTTGGGCATGAGTCGCCTAAATATTGATGTTGCACAAGATGTGCTGGCAGAGGCATTTTCAGCGCTCTGTATCGAAGGCCGGGGTCCTGGTGTGTTGCCCACGGGCGATGGATGCCGCCCCGGGTTTCAGTCGGTTGGACCACGAGGACCACGAGGATGATCCCGCCTTCGGGATTTCCTGACATCTTGGAAGGGCTCATCAGTTGAGATGGAAATTGTGACATTATGTATTTTCAGCAAAGCAGGCAAGTTGTACTTTGTAATGGAATAGGTTCGCGGTCGGCCCCTGTTGCCCCTCCTCGAGCTAAGTCTCTGCTGTATCTTGCGACAGGCGGTGAGGACAAATGTACCTGGTTGATAAAAAACCTCACCTGGCCACGGCACTCAACCCGAAATTATCCACGAGTCACCGGCCAAAGAACAAGGGATAGCCCCGGCGAGCACATCAATATCGCCAAAGCGTAATATATACTGCCGAAAAGCTAAAAAAAAATATATGCACAGAAACCCAGGCGCGAGGGAGGCACCTCCACCCACCCCGGCCCGGTCAAGGTATCGAGGCCCAAGTGCATGTGGCCCAAGTGACCCGTCCTCCCCACCACCACGTACATACATGCACGTTTACACGCGCACCCCCACCGGACATGACACTACCAGACTACCAGACTACTCACCCCTCAAATTTGAGGCGCGCATGTCGTTTACACGCACTGGCTGTAGTAGTCGTTGGTTGCCTTGCAGGTCGAGCCCGAGGCGCAGGTCGTGCAGCCGGAGAAGCCCGAGCCGCCGCATTGTCCCCTGTACATGGGTGAAGAACACGTCAGCATGCTTTGTTTTGTTTGACTTTCCGTCGTGCCCGGGGAAAGGGGTTAGGGGGAGGGAGGGGTGTGTTGGTTGGGGTGGGGTTAGGTAGACGGTTAGGGGGGTCAGGGTTGGTGCTGGCCAGAGGCAGGGCTGTTGTTCAAAACGTACCACTTCTCGACCGTGCAGCCCGAGGGGGTCGAGGTCTGGGCAGGCGGGCGCACAGTGCTGGTGGCGAGGGTGGTGGTGGGAGAGCCACCGTTGCCCGGGTTGGAACCGCCGCCGTTGTTGCCGCCGCAGGTGAAGACGGAGGGGCCGGGGACGGTGTAGCTGTTGAAGTTGGAGTAGATCTGTTGGGGGGAGAGAGGTGTTAGACACGGCTGCTGCTATTTTGGGCCCAAGTCAAGGCAGGGAGAGAGGGCTCACGTTGGCGGTGTAGCCAGGGTCGGTCTCCTTGAAGGCGCCCGGGATGGACACGGTCGCCGGGCTCGCGCTGCCACCGCCGGAGACGGTAACCTGGGCGCAGGCGATGTAGAACTGGGGAATTCCACCGGGCCAGGGGTTGTGAATGCCGAGCTGCTGGATACGGATCAGGTAGTCACCGTCAGGGATGCAGCTAGGGATCTGGGCAGTGTAGGTGGCTGCGAGGGAGTGTGGGTCAGCTTAGGAGAGGGATAGGGGGTCCACCGGAGCAAGACTTACTGCCCAAGTCCCAGGTAGCGGAACCTCCGGAAAAGCTGGGTCCAATATCCTTGATCTTGAACCAGCCACCAGACCCGTCGTACGAGCTGGCAGCGCCGGGGGCCTTGGACATGTAAAACGAGACAGGACCCTGGTGATACACGGCTGTAGGGTTAGGGTTGGGGCCATGGTTAGCACGGTACACACAACAACAACAACAACAAACTGATCTGTAAATCGTGGCGGAATGACTCACCGACGTCTGCCGTGAAGGTGATGCTTTCACCTGCCTTGACCGCGACGGTGGCAGTCCCGGAACCGCTCGCGCCAACGTTACACCGCAGGTCGTTGGACGAAAGATCGGTGACAGGCGAATTGTAGTTCGAGTTCTTGCGAACATACTGGAACACATCGTGCTTCCCAGATGAAGTGCTCAGCTGCTGAAAAATGTAATGCCCGGCAACCTCGTTAACCGCCAGCGAGAGGGCGGCAGCACCGAGAAGTCCCTTCATGATGATGGTGTTGTGGTGGCGGAAGTCGGAGATAAGGATGGGCAGCTGAGTTGCGGCTGGCTAGAGAAACGAGAAAACTTATGAGAGGAAGGAGATCCCCTTGATATATGATATGGCTTGCCCAAAAGACACCCCGGAGTACCCGTGAGCCCGGATTCAACTGCTGGGTTGCACTCGCGCGAACCGCGTTCAGATGCGCCACCGAGGAAGGTAGAGGTCCGGCGGCTGGCGGGGCATTGCAACGGCAACTGTGCTCTTGTCGGCACCGTGTCGCCAACGGGCCGGCTGCCGGGGTCATTCAATGCTCCTTGTGCATCCTGGGCGTTGGCAAACAACGGACACCTCTTGTCCGGATACTCGAAATGGCGAGGGACTTGTCCCCTCAGCCAATCAGAGTTCATCCCATGCGCTGCTATTTAGCCGGCGTGTTCTCTGCACCCCACAACCCGGTTGTCTCAATGAAACAATGCCATCTCACCCTAGCCCAATTGTAGGGTTTGGTCAGGGGTTGCCTTATGCGGATCGATGTCCCGGCGATGTGCCTCCAGCAAACCAAGTGGGCACTCTGTTCCCGTTTCTAAGCCAAGACGTCGGACTCGTTGAGAATCATTTCGGATAGCTTCCGAAGGGCTGCGGCTTGAGGCATGCCCAGAAAGAGACGACCTGGGTTTCTGAGAGGCCTGATATTGAAAACGTGGGCAGCTTGCCAGCGGACGTCAGTGGCGTTGGTTTGAGCAATTAATATGCACGATCCGGCTTCGATAGATTGGGGGGTGTGCGTGGCCTCATCGAATCCGTATGCGTGACATACTTATACCGACACCACCAGTCAATACTATGTGTTCGGTTGCTTCGGTACCCGCTCGGTTATGAAGGCGGAAATAAGGGCCACGAGGTCGGGACATATGTTTAAAGGGAAAGGGTGAGAAAGGAAACACAGAAAAGAAAACAGGAAGAAGGAGGGAAGGATTGAAAGTGAGAGACAGAAAAACTCAGCGTCTAAGTAGAGAAGCAGAATAACGGAAAGTATTAGCACAAAGACAAGCAAATAAAGGTTGCTTGTTCCATTGCCGTCGATAAAACGTGAAAGCGGTGAAGGAGGCGATGGTAAAGTCACAGCCAACCACAAGTCTCTCAACATGCCGCCGTCTAAGCAAGGGCTGGGAGCTTACCGGGTTAGGTAGACAATCCTCCTCCGTTACAAACTCTGAGAACACCACGGAATGTCATATTCAATAGTGCAACTCCGCAAGATTAGACGCGGTAAACCGAGTTTCAACGGCGTTGAGGCCATGTCCCGTCGTTTCCTCGGCCTGGCTCTTCCCGTGCCCATTCTCGACTTCTTACCTAGGCACCTACCTTGATTACCTGAACCTTAGCCTTGAACTCAACTCCCACCCAAGCATCACTAACCCACCACCAGCATAAATGAAGCCCAAGCCACTTGAATTCCATAAACCCATACAATCATCCGAGCAAGAGATTGCTGACCTTCCAGTCCTCGCTGGTCTTGATCCCGAGCCCATACCCCACAGCCCAAGACACGGCCAGCGCAGTCTCGAGATACCTACGACGTGCCATCATCCCCCCAGTTCAGCCGGTCGCACCCCACTCCATAAACCTATGTGCCCGCCAACCCGGGCAGCCTCGCACTGCCCCATCACTCAAACAGCGCGTCGTGGTGGTAGCAGTGGCGGCGGCGGTGGCTGAGCCGACAATAGCACGTAGCAAGCAGCGAGCAAAATACGACGGACAGTAAAGTCGGGGCCGCGGCAGGGCGGCAGGGCGGCAGGGCGCGCGAGGCGCGCGGAGGCCGCTGGCCCGGAGACGGTCGGAAGGCGGAGTGCTTCTGCATGTTACCCGGCCCATGCCGTGCTGCTGCTGTAGGAGTATATTACATACCTAGGTAGCCAGTGGCTTCGTAGAGGAGGTGGCCAAAAAGATCGCATCGATGGGCGCGCTTGGGCATCGTTGTCTGGTGTTTAGGTAGGGGTCTGAAGCGGCCGCCCGTTACATGCACTGTGGGCTCGCGCCGTGTGATGATAGTTGCCTCCGGAAGGACGGCACCGGGGCTGGGTTTATGGTCGATGAACGAGAATACTGTGTACGAGCGGGAATGAGTTGTAGGTTGTATCGAGGTGATACTAAACCCCAAAAGTTTTAGGTACCTTATATTATTATTTATTATTTCCTACACCGATATGCCCGTGGGCGCGCCGGTCCTTCTACTGCTATTTACAAAGGAAACCGTACCGTATAGGCCCGGGATAAAAACCTCTGGTCTACCACTTTGAGTCAACAATCTATGAATCCGTCATACTGCAAAAGAAAGGAGGCCCTTTGCCGGGCCTCCGGGCCCTTCTAGCCCTCCCCATCCACTGTTTCTAGCTCCAGCCTTCTGGCCAGCCTATACTCCAGTAGCCGGCCAGGAAGTCCATCAGCCAGCTCAAGGACCTTTCCTAACAAATCTTCTGCTCCGCGCGACACCTACTCCCCGTAATACGGTTTGTTAAGGTCCCGGATATGTGACCGAATCTCCTTTTGCCGTCCCACGGCCTTTGTAACGGCGGGTCGGGGCACCAAACCACCAAGTGCTCCACCGTCTCCCTGCCTCTCCCGCACTCGCAATAGGGGGTACGGACCTCCGGGACTTTCACCCTGTACAGGTAGTCCCGAAGGCCTATATCCCCGATACGGGCCTGGGA